CCAATGTGGTTTTAGTAGAACTCCAGCACTATGGTTTTCCCCAACCCTTTTGAGTTGATCTTTTTGTGCTCCCTCTCAGTAAATTTCTGCTGCTAAATGAGTCAACAGCTTGACCTCTGGATAGGCATGGGTTTGTTTTTTTGCTGGCAGGACCAGGCAGAGGAGCTTCTCAAATCAGCAAAGAACTAGTCGAATTTGGCCGCTAGCAATAGTGATTGCAAACTCTTGAGAGTCCCATGGACTGCAAGAAGATCAAACCTCTCCATTCTTAAGGAAATCAGCCCTGAGTGCTCACTGGAAGGAAGCTGAGGCTCTAATACTTTGGCCACCTCATGAGAAGAGAAGACTCCCTGGAAAAGACCTTGACGTTGGGAAAGATGGAGGGCACAAGGAGAAGGGGACGACAGAGGACGTGATGGTTGGACAGTGTTCTCGAAGCTACCAGCATGAGTTTGACCAAACTGCAGGAGGCAGTGGAAGACAGGCGTGCCTAGCATGCTCTGGTCCATGGGGTCACAAAGAGTCAGACATGACTAAACAACTAAACAACAACAATAGTGATTGTCTCCTTGGCCACAGTGATTTTTGGGGATGATGGATGGACTAAAGGGAACCTTCTTGAGGGACAATGTTCCCTCAGATGTGTGACAATCCTGTCAACAATCTGGCATCTTTAATGGGATTATGCCCACCGCAGAATTGAGCTGGTCTGCACTCCTGTTTATCAAATGTTCAATGAGTAATCTTCAATGATATTGCAGCTGACAAGCAATGCAGTGGAACAGAGTGGCAAAGATACTGCTGTAGTCATGTGCTGTGTATTCTCTTTGGGGAAAGAATTTACTTAAAAAGCCTAAAAAATCCAGAGATAAAGCTTAGTATGAATTAAAAACAAGATTCAGATTCTCACCTTGTCCATTCTTTTGCTTATTTAACAATTGCAGACCACTTGCTACCAGACATTTATTCCGACAAACAGGAGGGATTCCAAGACAGATCATGGCAATTGCCAAGCTGGCTGTAGCTTTGTAATAATAATTAATTGAAATAATAATTTTGTTTATATGCCACCCATCTGACTGGGTTGCCCAAGCCACTTTGCAGTGTGCTTCTGCGAAGGGCAGGAGTAGAGATTGATGGATCAGTCTGTTTTCAGTCCATTTTAGCTTTGCATGTGTTCAGTCTGCTCCATCTTGTTTCCATGTTAATTTGCATTTTTAAAGAAATAATCTGCACAAAAATCCATATTTAAATTAGCACATTGAAACATTTTCTCACAAAATGCACAGTCCTAAACATATTTTCTATGAAAATGTGCATTTTATCTAAAAAAGATGTATTTTAAAATGCATTTTTGATATTTTTGGAGCAAGGATTGCATGACGGAGAGGCACAGATAACTGAAGTTCCAATCCATACGTTAGTCCCAGAGACACAGGTCAGGTCAGTTCACATACAAATTCACAAAGAATTCAGCATCTCTGGGCAAAAGTGAAAGCCGGTTGGAGTAATTCTCCAAATGCACACTCAGCAAGCAGCTTGCCCCCCAGCTGCCTACCCAAGTTGTGCAGTCAAGACAGTATCCTTGCTCCCATTAGTGCTGGGTTGCTGCAGCTAGACCAGAAAGCTGCTGCATGCAAGCAGTATTTTCTGTATAATTTCCCTGACATTACTTTGGTGGTTCTAGTCCCCATTCCAGCTTCAAAAGCTGCATAAACAGAAGTGTATTGGAGGGTTTGAGCCTCGTTTCAAACTCATCTAATTGTGACAGAGAAGTCATAAGAGCATGGGGGTGGGTGGGAGAGAAGGGGGGTATTTCTGTTCCATTGGGGGGGGGGCATTAAAACACCATGTGTTTCTTCTGCAGCTGAATAAGGGAATAAGGGAAATGGAGGAGACCTATAGGCTTGGGCTGAAGAGGAACATGACCAAGAGAGCCAAAGTTGGTCAGGTGAAACATAATTCCATGTGTCTCTGCTGTGTCCTTGCAATAGGACTAGACAACATTAGGGGAAAAACGACACCTTGCTTTTGTGAAGAGGGTCTGGTGGGTGGAATTGTGGTGGTTTTTTTAATGTTACATATTTGGATAACAATACACATGTTCCAGGATCTATTTTGCTATTAAGGACATTTCTGTAGATCTCTTCTAATGGGATAATTTAAAAATCTGACAAATTCAAGCACAGTGCTGAGATTTTTATTTAAAATAAGAAAATTATCCATCTTTGTGTTCCAGTTAATGCTCTGCAACTTGATCATTGGACGATTCGCCACAGAGGAGTAGGAATGTTGTCTTCTTCTGTAGGTCTGAATATGTACGTAAGAAGCAGGTTTTAATTCAGTCCTCTTTTTTATTTTAGAGCTAATCCCTGTGTTCCAAGTTGAGGATAAACAGTAAATCGTGCAGAGCAAAGTACAGGTTAAATAAGATCATGAACTAAGATCATATTGGTTCTTTAACGAAATTTAAGCTGGCAACAAAACCTGCATGTCAGCATAGCTTGTAAAGAAAGATCAACAAGTTCCATCTGAAACAGTAATAAATTATTTCCATTTGGTACCACTTTTGTCTTTTACAATGTGTAGAAATATAGTTACAGTACGTCTGAAGCAGGCTTTCTCCCTTATACAGCCTTCTCTTGTGTGTTCCATTGCAATGAAGTCACACATCTCAATCTGGAAACATTAATCCACTTTGAAATTGTTGCGCCACCAAAATACGTAGTGTAGCATTACAGTGGTACCTCTGGTTAAGAACTTAATTCGTTCCAGAGGTCCGTTCTTAACCTGAAACTGTTCTTAACCTGAGGTACCACTTTAGCTAATGGGGCCTCCCACTGCTGCCATGCCACAATTTCTGTTCTCATCCTGAAGCAAAGTTCTTAACCCGAGGTACTACTTCCAGGTTAGCAGAGTCTGTAACCTGAAGCATTTGTAACCCGAGGTACCACTGTACTCTCTCATAACCACTGTTCCTTGGGTCCTATAGCTAAGTGCTAACACAGAACACAATATTCTAGACTATATGTCCCTTGCAAGCACAGAAAAATCCTTAGCATATTGGCCATTGACTCCTGCGTCCTGAGAATCCCAGATTTTGTTTTTAAAGGGCAGGTTTCTAGCCCATATTAGACAAGCTATAGTATGTGGGAAATGAATCATGAGGAAACTCCCATAACTAGGGGAAGAGGGAGAGAGAGAAGGGTGCTCAGTCGCACTGCTGATAGTAAGAGGCAAAGCATCAGTAGTTTAAATAGCTCACTGAACCCCTCCCAAAAAACTAGCAACAATCATGGCAACAACAAAAGCCGCCAACCACAGGTCACACAATACATTATTGCTCGATGTAAATTTGGTGTCGTCTTTTTTAAGGCTTGGAGTGTAGTCAATGTTGGAACCACAAAACTGGGCAAAATCAAGGAACTTATTTCCAAAGGGTGATCTTTTGCAGGTAGGCAAAGTCTATAGGGATACATGCTTTGACACGAAAATAATCAGTCCCTTTTGTAAATATATTTATTTAGAAGTACGGAATCCAGCAACCACAAATGTTTAAGGAGCCATGCTGCTTCAGTGCCCACTGGATAGACAAAGGGATTCAAATTTGAATGGAAAATAAGAACCATGACAAGGTGTTTCATACATGTTTAGGGGGTGGAGGCGGCAGGGGATATTACAGCAAATGACAGCCATGGGTAGGTTTGGCATATTCACACTTCTGAATTTAAGTCCAATATACTTTTTCAGGAATCTTCACCTCACTATTATTTCCCTGAATCCTTCGTTCCACCTACCTACCAAGTTGAATCACATAAAATCCACACACAAAAGGTGGGCTGAACTAACATTTGATCTAACCCAACATTTTGTTTCCCACAGAGATCAACCAGATGTTTCTGGGAAGACCACATTCAAGGGCAACCCCCGTCTTTAGTGATTGCTTGTCCCAGCTCTGGTGCCCAAGGTCTCCAAACATGAAGGTCCCATTTAGCTATTTCTCCACAATGTTGCCTCCTGAGAAAACGAGGCCTGCGGCCACTGTTTTTGACCAGGCCTCTGCTTTCTTCCAGTGTCTTGCCAATATCACTGAATTCCCTTTCGCATCCCTAGTAGATTCCTCGTTGCCTTTCCATTGCTACAGACGGCTCTCTGACTATAGTTCAACAACCAACCAACTTTGCTACAGCTTTTCTAGAACAACCTTCGTCTAGCATTTCAGCTTAGGATGAAAAGAATTTAATCGTTCAACTGTAGCCTTCAAGAAAAGCAAGGTACCTGTTACTGAACTCATTTTCTCCCACCCCTGCCCCTTGGTGGAAGAGTCTGCCTGAGTAATGAGTCATTTAATTAGATTTGCACTGTTTGGTTGTCATTGTGCATAAAATACAGATACAGAAGACTAATGAAGGAACTGATGCCATTAAGATGCCTCCCATTAGTAATACCTGTTAAGATAAATGGCATTTATGTATATACATCAAAGGAGATCAGTTCCTCATTTCTACAGGGTTACATCAGATGATGATCCTTTGCTTATAAACAAAAAACAGTATATACATATTGATATATTTTCCTCACATACCAGTAATTTAAACAACACACACCTATCTCAAATAGTGGTTTCCAAACTATGTTCCTGGACGGCGTGGTGTTCCTTGAGAGTTTATCAGGGATTCCTCAATAGAAACATTTGTGACAACCAAGGACAAAGCTCTTGAAGGAGAGCTTGTCTGCCATCATTTATCATGCTGGGGAAGTTTTGTATGTGTCCTACAACATGCCCTCGTTTCGTGTGGCACCCCAAATGAATGGAGTGTGCTCTTGAACATGCCCCAGAATCTTCTGCAAAGAGCCAAGGTTTTCTCCAAGGTTTCATCAGCAGGCAAATCAGTTCAGAAGAAAGGGCTACTTGAAGGAAGTTTGAAAACCGCTCTTCTACATCTACCCAAGTTGAAGGGATTGCTCCTTCCCTACCACAGTAGACGGGGATTTGCTATTTAGGCAGATTGCTTCAGATCCAATAGAAGGACATCCTCGTCTTCTTTTGCCTCCTGCTTGAGCACTATTTTTTCAGGAGTAATCACTATCTTCTCTTCGGCCTGAGAAGGGCCTTTCGATCCACCACCTTTGTCTTTCTTCACTTTGGTTATTACCTCTGTGTAGGAAATTTCTTCAGAGACTGGCTCGGCATCCCCACTATCAGCTGTTGTTGTTGTATCGCCAGTAGCCTCTTGGGTTCCATCTTGACCTTCAGCCATTGCCTGCTCTTTAGGTTTCTTCTTCTTCTTGAAGGTCTCCTTGGTTGGTGCTGCATTGGATATATTTTTCTTAAATCTTATCCCAGTTTGCCTCAGCCTCTCTCCTGACTGCCTTATTCGCTCTCTCCTCTCTGGCGTCACTATTCTAGTTCGGAGCCTGTCCACCCTCTTGCCAAAATTTTGCCTTGTCTTCTGGAGGTTCTCTCTTGAGAAGGCCTTCTTTATATTGTTGATACGTCTCATGCCTGACTTCTTAAACCGGGCTGCTTTGCTTTCTTCTATGTAATACTCCTCATCGGAAGAAAGATCATCAGGTGGGCAGAAGGCATCTCCTAGGTGTTCCCCTTGTGTCCGGTCTTTGATAACTGACAGAGACAATGGGCACGGAATGTCCTCCTGCAAGTGAAAGCACAATGTGTCAAAAAGGGCTTATTGTTGAGGGAGGAAAGGAATAAAGGTGCTTCCAGATGGCCAGCTCCTTAGCAACTGCTGCACCAAAGCAAAATATACCTCAGAAGGGCTTGGCAGGCAGAAGATGCCAGATTCAATCCCTAGATAGCCACAGCCAGCCAGTGTAGACAATAGACTCAGTATAAGCTTCCTATGTTCATTATCATTGTTTTATCTTCTGTGCTGCCTCCTATGCTAGCTCCCTGCCCCCCAGCCAAAAAAAGGCATTAGGTTTGTTTTGTATTTTTCTCCCTTGGGCCAGGCAGAAATAGCACTGATGATCGATAAGGAGTGGACAATGGCATCGCATGTTTTCTGCCATCTTCAACTCCTATCCTCTTCTTCGGCACGAGCCAAATTCCTGGTTAGTCTCTTACAGACATTTAAGAGTGTCACTGTCACACTCAACTATGGCTAGGAGAATCGGTCCAAAGAATCGATCCATTTGGTAAACCATGGTTAGGTCACACATAGTACAACAGAGCAGCAAAGCCTGAGAAGGGTAAAGTAGGCAGAGGCTGGTGGGGCATTTTGATGCAACTGCTTTATCTGACAATCTATTCATCAAGTAAACTGAATATATTACACGCAGCACCAATATTTCATTTAAGCTTGCAGGGGAAGTGGGAGAGGGCCTTCTTGGTGGCTGCTCCCAGAAATTTGACTAACTCCCTCCTTGTAGAGGAGGGACTTTTTTGATCCAACAGGAACTGACTGCTTTTAATGAAAGGGCTGGTGTCATTATTTGTATTTTTTACTTTTATAAGTAAAGTACACACTTTTATAAGTGTGTGTGTGTGTGTGTGTGTGTGTGTGTATAATTTATCAAAGTTTAATTGTTTTTAATGAATACTTCCCCCCTCCAATGTTTTAGCTGCTATTATTTTTATCTGTAAGCTGCCTTGAGTGTCAGGGGAAAAGGTGGGACATCATCATTATTATTAAAATTTTGATACTCTGCCTTTTGGTCTCCAAGGACCACCTTGGCAGCTATCTCAGTGTGCTATGGAAGAAGCTATTCCAAAAATTCCTGTGTGCCCGTCCCAGTTTTAGTAAATGCCATGCACTGATTTTGCTCCTGTCCTTTTTTGCTGATGCTAAAGTCACTCCAGGCCTCCAGTGCAAAACAGGGAAGCCACCCTGTTGACTTTTGCACATTCCAGGGCCCTGCCCTGCTGCAGATGGCATGAAAAACATCTGAATAGATTACAGGAACTGGGTGCAGCATCAGCTAAGAGGTAAAAAGAGAATGCTGGATACTCCTTTTGGACTATGAGGGAGCGGATGGGGTGTCATTCACAAACTTGACTGTTTGTATAACCATTTGACTAAAAAAAATATCCCACGGCATAGTCTGTGATTACTGATCACATTTGATCAATAATCACATAAGCACAAAACTTGACTTAGGGAAAATGTTATGTTATAAATATAGCAAAGGGCCATTTCACACATTGTATAGCCAAAAAACCTGGTTGGCTACTCAACCAAGTTGACACAGCTAATTCCAGCTTTCTGGCTGGTATTTGTGACTGAACACCCAATTGCCACATCAACACGTTATGGCAGTTGGATGCATACTACTTAAAAAATGCTCTAAAACATAAATGAAACTAACAAAGTCCTAACCATTGCATGGAATACTAAAGAACAAAGATGTCAAGTCGCTGTGTAGAAACAAAGAAAAAAATATAGAGAGGAAGATTCAGAACATACATGCACAGTGCAATCCTATCGAGACTTCCTAAGGAGTAGGAGAATCTAGTTCCAGGTAAACACGCATAGGAGTGCCCTGTAAATTTCCCTTTGGAATAAATGAAACTTTAAAGTTTTGATCCTATCAAAAGCCAGTGGTAAAGTTGGGAAATTTTAGACTGGCTGTAATGGTTTAAGGGAAGGGAGCTCTTTAGATGGCATTCTGCCCCAAAGTCCTGCTGTGACTGAACCACTATCGGAATCCCTCAACACAGTAAAGAAATTGCATAGATAGATAAACCATTCACTCACATATATATAGTATATTTAAGGGAGGGAGGGAGGATTCTCTCTCTCAGGGATCTCTGAAGTCCTTTCCCTGAATGTCCAATTGTCATATCTGTAAGTCTCTGTTCCCTTTACATTACATAAAGAGATCTAAGGGGAAATGTGCAGGCAGAATTCTATGCAATTGCTTGGAAAATCTGCAGCTTTCTGGTGTTCTGGCCAGTGATGGCAAAACTGCTGGAGATGAACGACAACAAGCACTTGGCACCTTGTTCACAGCCTACTATTCTCTACCTGGCAATAGTTCCCTAGGATCTGAGGTGGGAGGTTTTTCACAGTCAGCCCTGATATTTGAAACCCTTTCCAGCAGAGAGACCTAACCTGGGATCTTCCTATGCAAAGCATGTGCTTGGCAACTGAGCTATGGGCCCAACCCAAATTTCTGGCCGCCGGCCAGGCAGCTGTTTTTTTTCTAGAGAGAACATTTCATTCTCCACAGGCACAATCTACCACTCAGGGATTTGCCTGCCACTAATTTTGAGATTATTTCCAATATTTGCAAAAATATCATAGGTGGTAGAATCCAGATCATCTCATCTGAGATCTCAGCAGGATTATACACCGGCCTCCTTTGCATGTGACACTAAGCCATAGTTTAGAGTGTCAAATGTGCCACACACTTGCATAGTGCTCCATCATATAGTCCAACCCCTTGCAATGCAGAAATCTGCAGCTGTCCCGTACAGGGATTGAACCTGCAACCTTGGCATCATCAGCACAGCTCTTTAAACACCTGAGCTATGCCCACCACTCCTCCTCTAGGGTAGCTGCAAAGAGCTCTGGGGTAGCTGCAAGGAGTTCACTTCTGCCACAGTCTAGTGTGTCTTCTGAAACCTTAATGGAGTTTAATGTCAACTATGGTTTGTTTAAACAAGCCAACCTTGGGACCCATGCTCTGAAGTTGGCTTGAACCAAATGACAGCTACCCACAGCTAGTGTGTGCTATAAGTAGCATGCAGCGCTCTCCCCATCAGTGCCCCATGCTTTAGAGTTATGTTGCCAAGTTTAGCGGAAGGCAGGGATGCAGCAGGCTTGATTCTGTGCCATAGCTAGGCACATAGACCATCCTGTCCAGTGAGCATGCTGCACATTGACTATGTACTAATATAGTAAAGGTTGCTCTTGGTCTCTGAACTTCAGTGGATTTCTGCACCTCACAGAAGAGACATGCCACGGGGATGTAGAGCTACTAACTTTATAAGTTCAGTAGTAACTTACTATTAGACTAGAAAATTCTCACTTCATTTTTTGCCTAATGTTATACAAATATATTTTCAAGTACCAGTAGTTTTGGCAGAGCTTGTGTGTGTAGAAATGACTAGAGTCTGCAGTAAGCTGTAATGTGAATGGATAATTTCAAAAGATTTTTTTGTAATAGTGAACTACCATTTAATCCATAGGGAGAAGCAGTTGTACAGGGTGATAAAGGAATTTTGCCTTCATACCCAAATATGTGCACTTTGCAATTAACACAGTATTTAACTCTGCCACTGAAATTGATGGGACTAAGTAACTTTAAAGAAACCATACACATGAAAGAAATTATTTAAGTGCCAATCACTTTTCACAATCTGAACCCTAACAGCCTGGCGAATCTAGATTTTCCCATCAATGACTGCTTTTACAAGGAAGAAAACTGACGTTCTAATGGCTAGATGCTAAATATTCTCAATTCTGGGTGCCCTTATTGAGGATCCTGAATCTCTCTTAAACACAGCACTGCAGATGCAGGAAAGATCACTTCTGTACCCCTGCATCTGAGCGCAAAAACTAGTCATTTGGGCACACTTGGTACATGAAATATTTCTGTATGCATCAAACACCTTCATTCAGCACAATAACTTTTCATTCCTTTCCACTTCAAGCTATTCTTGGGGTAAGTCATTTTGAGATAAGCAATTCCAAAGAAATCCTGAGAATGGTATGCAAAAGAGTCACCCCAGGAAGAGCTTAGAAGTAAATCTCTGAGGTGGGGGGATCACAACTTACAATAAGGTCCAACAACCAGTAAGCAAAATATAAATCAGCTTTTTTGAAAGCACAATTAATGGAAGGGCTAGTTTGTGCAGAGAAATTCAGAGGTTTAGCACTCTAGTTAATTCTCTGGAAAAATAACAGGGATGACAGTCAAGCATGGAATACTCTGTCAAGATGCCCAAGCGCCTGCCCAGATTGCCTTTCACAGAGGCAACAAATAGTCCTTGCTGATCTACAGTTAATCTTATGCTGGCTGCTGGAGAAGCCTCTTGACACTAATAATAGACCGAGTGCTTTGCCACTGGCAGATTCATACTGCAACACGTTCAGAGGCACAAATCAATTTTTCTAAAAATTAAATAAATCAAAAGCATATCACACACACTTGATATCGGAAAGGCTGCTTTTACCTCCCCTCTGGTTTGTTAAACAACCAACAAGGATGTCAGAAACAGTGATGAACGCAGCAGAAGCGATTGCAATTAAAACCAAACCCCCAAACCCTGTTTACCTGGTAAATGACAACACGGAACTTGTTTTTCCGCAGCATTTCCTCTTGCTTGGCCTCCACCTTCTGCACGTTCGCGTTCTGCTTCTCGACACGTGCCCGCACTTCTTTAACGCGAGCGCTCACTTTGCGGGTTTTCTCCAGCAGCTTGTTGACTGTGTAGCCGGTGTTGTTGTGGGCCTGTGCGAGCTTCAGAATGTCTATCTGAATGGTCTTGATGGCATCCTCCATTTCTCTGTGCCTCTCTTCGATGCGTTTCTGACTCGCCTGCACACTGTCCACAATGGTCGCCACTTTGTCCAGGACTCTGACAATGGTAAAGGCGGCATCTTGTTCCTCGTCGTCGTCATCCGGGACGCTGGGCAGGCGATTCTGGTGGATTTTATCCGCCTCCAAGGTGGCTTCGCGGTGATCCATACCGTCCCCTCTTCGGATTGCTCTACAGGAGCTGAAATATAAACGCCTCGCGGCAGCTGCAGCTCCAACTCCAGCAGGGCAGTTCTGGCACTGGAGCAAGGAGGTTGCTCGACAGCTGGTTTTAGGGGATGTTCAAAAGCAGGGTCTGAAACTTCAGCCCAGGAGACTTGTCAAATATTTATAACCACAAAACAGCCTCGCAGGATTGTTCAAGTGCTTTCTGTATGCAACATGAAACCTCTAAAATTAGGAAGCAAAGTTGGGGAAGGAACATACGTTCCAAGAATCACATATCTCTACCAATCAACTTTCTCGAGTTAATCCAGGAATAGTTAAGCAACTTATTAATTAAGCCAAAGAATGAACCGGCATGCTGTTAAAACCCAATGTTGCTTTTGTTTTAATTAAGCTCTTTTCTTGGGTGCAGGTGACGGGAGGGCATTCAACGTTTTCCAATGGCCTTTGGAAAACTGAAATGAAAAAGTGCCTCCACTATCTTTCAAACCTTCCAGTAAAGAATAAACAGACTCGGAACAGATTAAATATCGTGGGAAAACATTGTATTGACATTTCTTTCCAGTTCAAATATTGAAAGCCTTTTTATTGAACAAATTATTAAATCCTACATGCAGAATTGGAAAGCCTAAAACTACATGTTGAACAGCTGGAACACACCCTAGTTACATTTTAGCTCTGGATCTTCCAAACAACTACTAACATCCTATTAATATAATAACTACAACCAGCAGACTTTATTTGCATGAGACACATTCTTAGCTCTTGAAAAGTATTCTAGACAAGAGCTCAAATCTTTTATGGTATTTAATTTTTTTTTTCTTTTTTGCATTTTAATCACAAAGACTATACAATTTTATTTGTTGATGTGAAAACAGGTATCCTCTTTAGAAAACTGTAATAAGTATGAAAGCAGTTTAAATAGTGACCAACACAGGCTTAATCCCAATCATGTGAGTTTGCTTATTAAACATAACTTAAAAAAAAATAAAAAATACACAAGTCTACCAAGACCTGTTTCTGCAGGGCAAATGCCCTTTGCTCTACTGGGCAAGCTTTCAAATTCAGAAATGTATATTATTATCATTATCATCATTATTTTACAATTTAAAAATAAAGTGTCAAATATTTATGAAGACGGTGGTGCTTTGACCCAGTCCATACATATTGGGCTGGATCTAGACTAAATTAGTTGCACTGAAATCGTTATGACTAACTTGTTCCACTGATTTCAATGAGAATTAAGTGCAACTGAATTAGTCTGAATTCAACCCGTTATAAATATGTAACAACTACACACAAGTACACATCTTCACAAGTCATGCGATTGGCAGTGTCTAAAAAAATCAGTTACTAACTTTCAAAAACATTTAAATATCTACGGTATTTAAACACAGTGTCTTCTAATTCCTTGTAAGAAAAGTACGCTGTAAACATCTTTACCCTTATGTCATGCCTTGTTTGCTAAGAAACAGGATGGGATCCATTTTGCTTTTTCTACAACCATTGGTGAAATGTCTCGGGTCCCAAAAATGTTACATTCCGTAAGTAAAGCACAAGTCTATTATTATAACCATGTGATACAATACAGGAAATAAACTACCGTATCTTCCAAATCATGAAATGAGAAGTTACTAGAGCAGTCCATTGCTGTCAGCTGCTTTCGGAATAAAACAAAACAGAGCTACGCTAAAAAAAAAATGTCCAAAAATAAGGCCTCTGAAATAAATATTTCCATTCTTTTAAAAAAAGATAATAAAATTGTACATCACATGGGCATTGTAGGTATAAAAATTGCTCTAAACCATTCTGGATGACGTATCTGAAGTAAAGTGGCCTAGATTTTGCTTCTGCCGTCGTCCTCTGTTGTTCTTTGGGCATTTCCTGTTACCGGAAGCAGAAAAAGAAGGGAGGGAGGGAGTGGGGTGGGAGAAGAGAAATGATTTATTAACTGAGTGTATTTTAAAAGACTACTTCATGATTAATTCACATACAAAAGCCTCCAGAACATAAAAGGCTGCATCATCCATCATTGACATCTGCTGCAAAAGCCACACGTGTTGTCGATTTGGGGTTTACACACCAGAGGCACTACAGTGGTGCCTCGCAAGACGAAAAGAATCCGTTCTGGGAGTCTCTTCGTCTAGCGGTTTTTTCGTCTTGCGAAGCAAGCCCATTGACGGGATTAGCGCTATTAGCGCTATTAGCGGCTATTAGCGGCTTTTAGCGGCTTTTAGCAGCTTATCAGCTTATCGGATAAGCAGATAAGCGGCTTAGCGACTTAGAAAAAGAGGGGGAAAAGAAGAAAAAAAACCCAGGAACTCGCAAGACATTTTCGTCTTGCGAAGCAAGCCCATAGCAGATTCGTTTTGCGAGGCACCTCCAAAACGGAAAACTCTTTCGTCTAGCGAGTTTTCCGTCTTGCGGGGCACCACTGTACTAAGAATCACACTGTTTGTCATGCCCCTGCTCTGGCTGAAGCAAAGTTGTACACTGCAGACTGCTTCTGTTAAGTTGTGGGTTGACATAGCAGATGACACAGCGATTTCTCCAAAGCAGCTCTTTATTTGTAAGCTGGAACAGAACTGAACTGAAGGCCTCAGTCAGCCTGCTTATATAGAGCTCCAATACCTTGTTACTGTAACAACTTTCTAAAACTATCCAATCACTGAACGTCACTTTCGATCCTTCATTTTCATACAAACTATCCAATCACTGAACGTCACTTTCGATCCTTCATTTGCATAACTATCTACAGTATCCCCTGTTGGCCCAGGGTGAGAACTTCAGTACATAACAGCTTCCACCTGCACATTTAGCCGCATGGGAGCCATACCCTCCAACATTTCTTCAACGAACAGGGACATCCTGAAGAAAAGCAGGACATTCTGCGATAAAATCAGAAACTGGGACGGCTTCTGTAAACCCGGGACTGTCCCTGGAAAATAGGGACCCTTGCAGTCACATGGGAGGAATCTTATACAGAAACTGAAAAATTGTCATCTGGTCTCGATCTGGCCTAGTACAGTGATAACCCACAGCAGCTGCCCAGGTTCTCAGAACCAAGTCATATCCTACATTTTAAATTCCAGTACGAAAGGTACCATAGCTAATATGGCAAAATAAGCACACTGTAACATCAATCATAAATGGGTTAAATGGCCGCTTTCCCCTACAAGAAAACCTGTCTTAATTCCTTCATCGCAATCCAAAAAGCAGTTCCAGTTTAACTCAGAAGATGCTACAACCCATTTGTGGTCTGATGTAGGCTTAAGGCCATGGCCTAAGTTGGCTGTGATAGAAGTTGCGCATATATTTATTCCATTAGTCCACCCTTCCTTCAAGGAACTCTGGGTGACATAAAGAGAGTGTTCCCCTTTTCCTCTCACAATAACCCACACGGTACGGTGGCTAAGCAGAGGTTACCATTTTGCCAAAGAAAACTGTAGTCATGGTTCAGCTGCAACGTTACTGAATTCTATTTGGTAACAAATACAACATTGTGCCACTAATGGCACTGAGCTTGATGCACCAAGATTAAAATGGTCTCTTGGCTATTTGGAAATCACATATTGCCCTAGCTAAGGCATACCAATTCCTTGGCCCTCTGGCTCAAGAGACTAATGTGGGCAGCACCATTTGCCTCTGACTCACCCAAGCCCAAAATTAACAGCTGGGGAAACAGGAGGGGGACATTCAGAATGAGGGCAATCAAAACTTTGAGGGATGAAAAAATCAAGCATCTCTTAGCCAACGAGCCTCTATGAATCACACCGAACACATTTTAACCATGATTATCAGCACAGAAGCTTGACAAAATATCCTCTTTCCCTTGATAACCATATGTGGCTGACATGTTGTGCCGGATTAAGAAACCTAAAGGCTGGTATAATAATAATAATAATAATAATAATAATAATAATAATAATGTCAGGGGTTCAGAGAGAGAGGCACAGGGTAGGCAGGAGATGGAGAGCGAGGGGGAGGAATTCCAAGCCAGCGAGGAAGAGGATGACAATGACTCAAGGGATTCCATGAGTCTTTCCAGCGAATCAGAGGATTCCCAGAAGGGGCGCCGGTGGTCAGGGCCAGGGAGCCCCAGGGGGGAAGTGTCAGGAGCAGGGTGCCAGCGGAGGATCCCAAAGTGGCAGCTGGGCGTCAGGACCAGCCTCCCCACCAAAGTGCAGCGAAGGGGGTGGAGTTTCCAGTGTGTCAGAGGAAGCAGCTCCAGCAGCAGAGAGAGGAGGGGTCCGAGCAAGCCGCCCTCCCGGAAGGGGAGGGAGCAGTGAAGGGAGTAGTGTAACTGTCAAAAGGAAAGTTAGAGGTTTGGCGCGCGCGCCTAGTTCAAATGTAGAGGCGCGCGGAAGTGCAGGGAGCCCGGAGGAGGGGCCAGGTCCCAAAGCCCGCAGGAGGGGGGGAAGAGCAGTCTGGGGATTCAGCGTCAGAGGAATCCAGAAGGGGCGCAACCCCAGGGGGCAGAAGGACCCTGCGGAAAAGGAAGGAGAGAAAGAGGTGGAGCAGCGCAAGTCTCTTAAATTGGTGCAGAGGAGGGAGTGACTCAGAGGGGACTTCGGCGGTCTAGCGTAAGAGACGTAAGGCTGCGCGCCTAGGATGTCAAGCAAACCATGAACTGCAATAAACACCTTTGTATACAAGAAGACGTAGGCGTTGGTCTTTTGTGAGCTAAGACTTGAGGCAGCCTTGACAAATAATAATAATAATAATAATTTATTTATACCCCGCCCATCTGGCTGGGTCCCCCCAGCCACTCTGGCAGCTTCCAACCAAACACTAAAATACAATAAACTACGAGAAGCCGAGTCAAATATGACAGACTAAGGCTGTATTCCTAGGTGCAGTTTACTTCGGACTAAGCTGCATCTTTTCAGTGGGCTCATAAACGTGGTCTGAGAAAACCTACCTATGATGTACCTACACAGGAACTATTACTGGAGTCTTTCTGGACTCATGTTTTAGTCTTGATGTCAAGATCGAATACATGTACTTACTGACTTCCGTATGATCAGGCTGCAAAATACATCTAAACCTTTTACCTCTAATCCTCTGAAAAAGCAACTCAGCACTGCTTGCTCCAGGACTCGTAGGCTGCCTCATTAGAGCCAAGCACTCAGGATTTCAGCAGAGTGCAGCAGCAAGCAGGATGTTATCCCATTTTACTCAGCAGTGGGTATGCACTTCCAAAGGTTTTCCAAACTCTCTGCATTTCATATTTTTATACTAGCCCATTTTGGCTTTGCTCCCAGAATGCAGTCGACTCCTCATATAGTATTAAGAACTACAAGTTCCAGCCAAATCTTAAATGATGGGTGGGTGGGTGCGTTTCTGCCTAGCTGCAAATCTTCTACTGACTTGATATCATGTTGATTTCAATAACTGTCTTGGGCCATGTGTTGCCACTTCCAGGCCCTGACACATGGTACAGCCAACTGTGGGAAAATATTCCATCCCATCCTGCAAACTTAACAATGCCAAACATCTAGCAGCCTTATGATTAATTCACCAAGACCTTTTGCTGCAGGACATTTCCTTACGAGGTAACGAGCCATCTTATTTTGAGAAGTTATCATCCTGTTGGCTACCTTGTTTGTGGGTTTTAGTTTTTCTTGGTCTGGGAGGAACCAATAAAAGTAGCACTGTCGAAATCATAGACCTAGTTTCAAAAATTACGTGAATGAATAGGACCAACCCAATGTTCCAATCTCCATGATGAAAGAGAGAGACGTCTCCCTCACTTCTACCATGTGCGGTGGACACGATGGCTTGGCTTTGAATGATTCTTCAAGAAGTGACATCATACATAATGGCCTAAATTTAGAACCCTAGCCCCATATTGGCATTACATTCCTAGCGACACATAGGAACTCCATCATGAGAACTGGTGCTAGTTCAGTGTAAGCCAGTAGACCATAAATGCAGAGAATGCCATCCTTGATATGGGTGTGGATGAATAGGCAATGGTCCTGTAGAAGTATTTTAGGCCATGGCATGCATAACAGGAACAAGGAGAGATGTATATGAATATCATATCCCGGAGGAAAGATTTTCTCTCTACCTCTCTGCCGTGCCTAATCCATCTCTGGAGCTGAGCCAGAAGGAAGCAGCCAACATTCCACTCTGATATGAAAAGATCTTCAGCAGATTTTGTGGTACATACAGAGTTGGAAGGAGGGGACATAATGAGAAAGTTTCCTATTTGGCAGGCTCAGAATTCAGTGCCAAAACGCTACATGCAATGTCAACACTTGCACACATAGTGGCAAATACCTTAGAGAGATGCTACCTAGACACACCAAGTTTTTTTGGGTGTTCAAAGCATTACTTTATCTTAGCAATTCTTACAAAACATTCTGCAAGGTATCATGGCTTCTGTGTGACAGATTTGTGTGTGTGCACAAAGAACCGTGTCTTGCCTAAGACCATCTAGTGAGTGTGTGATTGAGATTTGAACCAGGAATAGCCTGACTCATCGCTCACACAATTAGCCACTACATCACAGCAGCTCCCAGCTTGAAGTCTTCTCTACTATCCAATGCATCACCTTTCTTTCTTTTTTTTAAAATGATATTTATTGAAAAAAGAGTTTTTTTAGAAAATTACACAAAAGAAAAATAAAAATAAAAAAAATAAAATAAAACCATCATTCTCCAATTCTCCACTTTCAATACCTTCTTTCCTTGACCTCCTCCTCCTCCCTTTTCCTGTATCCTGTTTTATAATAATCACAGCAAATCCTTTCCATAATTCATAGTATTCTGTCATCACATTACCTTGATCTATTTTCATCTTATCATAGAAAACCTTAAAGTTTAAAACTTAAATCTTAATTTTTACCAACTTCTCCTAAACCATAACATTCTTACCTAGTTCTTTAGACATTTTTATAAGAGCCAAATAGTTTCATTTCAACATTTGAAATGTTGAAATGCAATGCATCACCTTTCAAACCTGAATCCTGCTGAATCAAATTTGTAGGCCCATAAATCCCACTGGAAGCTGAATGAATCAGGGCCATAAAAAGATATGGCAATAGGATTCCAACTGTGGCAGTCATGAACTTCTAAAAAGGGCGAAAAGCACCCATTGTACTTTCCCCCCAAGCAACTTACCGAGTTATGCACATCACAATTGCAACAATAATGGCAATCTGGACAGCTCCAATTATTGCTGCAATGAGGACATGTGTGAGTTTTTGCCTACTCGGGACAACATAAAGTATGCTAAAGTCCGTCTTTTCACAGTGCTGTCCTGTGTATCCAGATTCACACCTGGAAGAGAAGAGAGAATGTTTTTAGAGGAAGTGTCTATTCAAAGTTCAGGCCATTACACAGACAGTGCTGAACTGCAACTGTGAGACCACAGTGAAAGACTCAAGGCAACGAATCACATATTCTCATAAAAGCATGAGAAAAAGCACACAAGGATCATCTAAATTTTAAGATACAGAGCTATATGTTATAAATGGTAACTGAGGACCATCACAATTTAAAAAGCTGGAAACAATTTTTTTAGGGTGTGCCTACACTACTTGCGCCAGTTTTATACTATCATGATTATTTTCTCCTGCAGCCTTAACAAAAGTAAATAAATCCTGGGAAACATTGCTTTCTATGTGGTTAAAATTTTGGTCTGACATTTAAGCTAAAAATTTAAGCCTGAATTGCATAGGACTTAACAGCTATTTCAAAATTTATCGAAATAAAATGCAGTCCCACTACTGCTTTGAGGACCGCTCTGGACACAGATGATCAATAGAAGATCACAATGAAACGTGCTCCAGTGTGTATACAACAAGGATTTCTCCTCCCTCCCTCCCTCCTCCTCTTTTTCTTTCAAAGCAGAATCCATTCTGCTGCAGAAATCTGTATGGGGGCTCAACTGGACCCTGCTTCGTGTCCCCTTTCCCCACCCTCCTCCCTCACTTGCTAAAGGTTCTCAAGTTGCCTAAAGACTTCTTGTACCTGGAAGGGGTGGGATGAGAATTTAAAGCACGGGTGGGCAGTACGCAAACACGGAAGCAACATAGGTACACCCCCCTCGAGAAGGTTGCACACATTGATTTTGTTAGCAGGTGTTGGGCAGCTGGGGTTCAAAGCCTTCCAAAAGGACAAGGGGAAGAGAGACATTCCACTGTGGGGAAGAGGTACCCAATGAGAGGATCTGAAGGCACTTCCTCCATCAGAGCAAGGTATGCTGGACAGCATCTTCTGCCACTGGGTACAACTGGGTCCATCTACGCACACCCAAGATCCCTCCTGGGAACTGATGCATCACTTTCTCTAAAAGAGGTCCAATCTATGGACCTCTTCCTGTCTTCATCAGAACTCTCCACTACAGCTTTGTTCTTTGTTCCCCAAAGTGGCTTCCTTGAGGGAAGGGGGTGGAGTAGTAAGCAATAGAAAGCTGGCATCAGTTGGGTCCCTCGTGAATTCAAAAGGAACACTCAAAGGGCCCGACTGATTTTTGGGGCAAGCACCAGGTTGTTCAACCATTTCTAGTGCCTAGCGATGCCTTGTCACGCTGTGGAAGATGGAAGAGTAGAGAAACAGCTCTACGGAGGCCTATGCCAGTCTCATACCCAGAAAGCTGCACCAAAATGAAAATGAATTATGCCATCTTTTATAACTTTCCCCTCTCATTTTGTTTTAATCCAAGGGTTTATATTGTTCACTTAGCAACAGACAAGAATAGAACAGAGGTTAAGAGTATAGCAAGCTATATTTAGAGAATATTGCTATAATTTATTCATTCCATGTTAATAGAATGTGACACTCATTTGGATCTAGTGACAAGTCGATAAATAGTTAATAAAAACAAGAAGAACAAAAACTGGGCTTGCATAAACCCAATTTATTTGATGCTCACTCGGAAAGGGGGAACTTCAGATATAGCTGTTTCTGCTTGGATCATCGTGAATACGCTAATTGTGGAGTTGAGCACAAATTTCCAATTTCCAAATCTTCTTGGTCGATTGACTTACCGACAGGAAGCCTTCTGTGTAGAATAAATGAATTCACATTTCCCATGGATGCAGTAGCCACTAAAACTTTCCGAGCAAGGAATATGGTTTCCAATGTAGATGTCTTCTCTTTGATCACTTGCATCTTTGCGGAAAAACAGAAGAATGGTAGAAATTGAAGGAAGATTAAAAGCTGTTTAACTTTACTGATTTCGTTGGTGTTTTGCCTGCTTTGGTTTAGGGTTTTTTTGGAGGGGGGTCTTTATTGCTCTGTTATTTTTTTATTATTATATTTTATTGTACTTGGATTATTGTTGTTTGCCATCTTTTGGCAAAAAAGCAGGCTATGATGTCAGCAAACAAATACTTTTTTTCACTCACAGCAGTATATAGCTACTGAAAGGGGTCCATAAGGAGTTCAAATTTGTCCCATGAGGATGTTTCTCCAGGACAACACCCACCTGCCTCACACCTCATGCCAAATGTGATATCATGTGGCTGCCAATGCAAAATTGGGAGCTTTAAAGTGTATTCTCAATTGCACTTTGACAAGGGAAAGGTCGACGCCCATAGGATCAGCTGCATGTGATACTTCAAAGCACCTGGTCACTGGGCATCATTGTGATGTCAGGCAACTGAAAGGTGGGCAGCCCTACCCAGATGTCAAATTTAGCCTGATAAGGATTTGGCTGACAGAGCCAAAAAGATTCTCTATCTGTGCCCACTGCCATATAAACAACAGCCATATCCTTAGATGACTTTGCAGAGCGTTTACAAAAGTTTCAATTAATTTATATACAGTATATATAATAAACTAATGCCTTTCTTAGAGCCCTCTCCCTAAAGGAATATCCCTAGGATACAAAAGGAGGACTTTGGATAATTCAACAGAGCAATAAATGTTAAATGCGATTTAGGTATTAAAATAATATAAAATCAGAGTAGTTTACTGTTAGAATTATGTTAAATGTTTACTCAGAAAATGACATCTAGGTTAGCTATACTCTTGGACGGATTTCTACAATACAGTCTGGATCAGTGTAATAACAATATTAATTCGCCCCCTTCAAACCATACAGAATTACATTAACATGGATCAAAGAAAGTTGTGCCTGGTACAAAACTGATAATTATTAGAATAGGAATATAAGAATTAGGTTATAGACCTAATTCTCTATTTACAGACTTCTAAAGATAATCAACCTTTCCACCTTTCTGTTTATTGCTGCATAAAAGGCATTTGACTGCCTTGAAGAAATCTATGACTTCAGTAATGAAACAATTTGGAATGGAAGTCAACTTTATCAAATGGTTTAACTTCATTTGCAATGCAAATATCTTGGTAAATACTTACCTGTCTAAAAAGTTTGAATTAGAAGGGGGGGGGACACAAAATAATTATATCAATCATCCCCCTTAAATCAATACTTTTAAAAATGATCAGTTTTATTATTGCCTCATATTGTAATATTAAATTCATACTACTATTATTCAATGTTATCATGAATTCTCAGGAAATAAAATGAATGTACTGAAATCTGGAACGTAAAATCCCTTACAACAATACAAACTTTAAATAGTAGATCAAAATCAGGATTTCAACAGTGCCGTAATGAGAAGAAAGCTGGAAAAACAAGGAGGTCTTTGCCTAGTACTGAAATGACAGCACAGCAAACACCAAGGGGGAGCATTCAAAGAACAGGACACCATCCCCAAAATATCCTACCCTGGTCGCCACCTGCCTAACCTCAAGACAGTAGAGACATTTTGAAGAGGGCCTCTGAAGATGACCCAGAATTGCTGTTAATTGTTAAGTTCTAAATAAGAAAGTGGAGAAGGGTCTGTAAGCATGACCAAATTTATCTATCTCCTGGCTGGGGAGACAGATGTCTATAAAAATATAGGAATTCCTAACATTTCTATTTCTGTTCCCATTACACTCTGTGATATTTGAATAATATGCAAACTAAATCTCTCTTCTGCTTTTTAATAACATGCAAACAAAATTGAACTTATTTATTTGGCAAGAAGGCCTGCTGAAGGGAAAGAAAGAAAGAAAGAAAGAAAGAAAGAAAGAAAGAAAGAAAGAAAGACTAGTAAAAAGCAGACATACCCTGCCCCAAAGCTGGCTCCCTTTGTTACAACTTGTCTACACTTCAGGTGGAAACTACTGCAAATAGAGCCATGATAAGAAGATCAAGAACACTGCATAGGCACTTCTCTTCCTTCCTTCTCCCCACTTGTAGGCCAATTCCCCCTTTCCTATCATTTTGAGGCCTTAAATGCAATTAGTGCTACATCTGCAGCAGTCTTTTCCCAAATGGTTGTTAGCTTGAACCACGGTTGCAAACTGTGGTTTGAAGCTAACCATGGTTAGCAAAAAGCACAGATATAGATATAACACCAGAAGTAGCTAACATGGGGTCCTCCTGATGGGACTATAACTCCAATCATACATGACCATTGGCTGTACTGGCTGGAGATGATGGAAGTCGGGAGTCAAACACATGAAGAGCACCAGGTTGGCTACTGCTGCTGTAATCATTATTAAGTTCCACCAATGAAAAGGTAGAATAATTCATGAAAGTACGTTTGAGGTGGGCAGGATGCAAGATGTTCTCCTAAGCCAGAAACTTATGTGAACTTATTTACAAAGTTGCCTTAACATGTCTTCTTAAAAAGCAGCAAACTCCAAAGTCAATTCCTGTGACCCCCTTAAAGTTTATCAAACTATTTTGAAAACCTCGGAGACAGAAACCACAACTGGATCTCATAGTCATTGTTGCTATTTTCTGGCTGATGGAAACTTTGCGTTCTCTGTTGTCCCCTCCTCCTCCTTGCTTGAGTGCCTGCACAACAGATGATAATTACATGGTAGGCAAAACAATTTTCAGCCTGGTTTGCGTTTTGGGTTTTATTAAGAAAGGTATCCCCCCTCCCCACCTTGCATAACAGTCTGCGCCTGCAATGTGAACTTCCTCCTCCTCCTGCTCCTCCTCCGCCCCCAAGCAAATGCCTCTCAGGTTCCCAGGTTTCTATCTCAAGCAGAAAGAGCAAAGAGAAGCTAACTGGGGCAGAATGGAAGAGAAACCCAGCAAAAAAATCCTTTCAGTTAAGTTCCCAGGAATTGCAGACATCCCAAGGCTCCAAAATAGATCTTGGAGGTCAAACTTCTAGATAAAAGAGAGGTTGACAGGTTCTACAGAGCAGCTAAACCACTGAAGTTTCAGCTTGTACTGGATCTGAATGCTGATCTTTCAAGAGGAAGGCCTTTTAGCTCAGGAGATGCAAAGGCAGGCAAACCAAAGCGTCCTGGAAGCAGAGAGAGTCAGAAACTGCAGAAGCAGAACCAGAACAGCGCTCCAGTCAGTTTTATCCTGGTTTCATCTATTAGGTTCTCCTATCTTAAAAATGGGAGGTACAGTGGAAAAGGCCACAATCTCAACTGGCTTGTAGCAGGGATGGAAAGATTAAAAGCACTCCCTGGTAAGAGCAGGGAATTCCAGGCATGGGGAGTGTGTGCGATTTTGCCCCACCTTTTTGTGAGAACTTGGGGAAATAGGCATTGAAGTGATAGTGTTGTTGTCCCAGTGATAAATGCATACTTGTAGAATTGGTGTGTGGATCTGGTAGTGTCTGCTATATTTCTACGTTTTGGATCTCCTAGTAGCTGTTATTGTCTCAATATGTTAGTTATTTTTCATTTATACTGATTTTTGTATATTGTACCTAATCATTCTGCCCAAAACAGTTGAATGCATATTCTAGATTGCTTAAGACAGGTAAGTTGCCCCTTACCTGTTCTGATGCAAGACCTGTTCTGATGCAAGACGAAAGGCTAACACTTTCAGTTTATGGACAAGGTATAATAATTAGTTAATCCAGACTCAATTAATCAGAAATTGGAATGATTCTTTGATGTGCCCACACAGAAATGTCCCTCTATCCACTGCCCCAAAGATAAGTTCAAACAAGCCCAGAGGCTTTTCTCTCTTTCCTTTTCCTTTAGCACAAATTTATCCAATAAACAATAAAAGGGGGAGAGAGAAAGTGTCAGAAGGAGGAAATTGCTTTTCTGTAGAAATGGTTTCTTTCCTTAGTTTCTGCCAGCTTTAAAAGTCACCTTTAAATCTGAAGTGCAGAACACAGGAAATCTATTTTGTAGGAATAAGTCATCCTTCAGAACAATACATGAAAGCTTCCTTTTCCGTGTTTAATAACAGGGGAGTGTTTAGCATTAATATAAGAAACACATGAGAGCTTGGCCACAATAGAACAACATCATAACTCCATTCGTGGAGCAAAAGGAACACAACATCAGTTCATTTAAGACTATTTATATGCTAAATTTTCCAGAATAAATAAAAATGGCTTTATTATACAAAATGTCTCATCACACACAGTGCAAAACTGCCAAGGCCATCAGAAGTGCTTGTAAAATGGTATTTGTTCAAGCAAAAATGCATTACTTTGAAACAGATTGGAGGCGGCAAGTTATTTTAACAGGTTTAACTCAATTATTGAAGGATGTCTGTGCCCTTTCCAATAAATATTTTCTGGAGGGAAGGAAATGCTTCTTTCTGCACTTAAATAACAGCAATGTGCATGTCTTCATCAGGACCTGCGAGAACTGCCATCCTGCAAGAGAAAAACCTGCTTCGACAACCTATCCAGTCCAGCATCCTTGCTAGCGCTGCAGACAGAAGGGCAGTCCAGTGTTAGAATCCTACCTTTCACATCCGGCCGATACTGCATTCCATCATCCTTTTTCCCCAATAAGCTTGTGTCGTCGGAGTCTATTTGAGGAAAACCATAAAAAGAACCAAAGATATTTATTGCTTTGTTGTATTATTTCGATACCTGAGAAGGCTACTGAACAGCAAGTAGGTGGTGAAACACTGTATTTTTCATGCAGCTTAAGAAGACAATATTGTCCAGAGTTGCCCTTATGTATGTGGGTTAATTTTTGAACTCCAGGAGATGCAGAAAGGGGAAACCAAGCAGCCAAACGTTCCACAGATTTGGTACGTCTCCTTAGACAAGGGGAGTCAAGTGTAGTGAACAAATGTGGTCATGATATCACGTTTTAAGGTTAGTTGTGATACTTTATCTCAGTCCGAAACTAAATCAACCCTCAGCGTATGAGGTGTGATGCCTGGACAACATATGCACTCCTTCCTCTTATTACCATAATACTTTCATTTTCCAAGCATCACAGTTTTGTTCTTTCAAATCCCCTAGGTGCAGAAACAGCCATTAGGGCAAGATTATGTTCAGTCTCCAAAAGGAGGCTATAAAGCAAGAAACATTGAAAACTGCATGGCCTTTCTCTGCAATGTAACCCTCTGAAAAAACTCCACCATCTTAAATCTCTCTCTCTCTGTTAATTCTTCCACCTATCTTCTTTTCACGAAGAGGGAACCTTGTGGCTGTGTCAGATAGCCTGGAGGACCCTAGACCGTGAGAACATACCTCTATTCTTTTCCAAGTCTCCTAAGCCATTTTGATAGTAAATGCAGTTTTCATTGTGGAACACTGGGCCTTTATGTGTGGGCACTGAAGTGTACCCAACTGCGTTTTATCCTTGGATATTCGTCTAAGCCCTGAACCACCAGCAAATGTTGTGGGAATGTGAAAGGAAGAGGAGGAGCCTTGCTGCTCTTTGCAGCTTTTGCTGGATGAGTGCTCCAGTGCTCAAACTGCACAGCAGGAGAGCATAGAACGACTAAAGACATCTTTTTGTTAAAAAATAAAGTTCACACAACAGCATGTGCTTCATTCTCAGTGGTGTCACAAACAATACCCAATCAGAGCAATGTTGCCTTTCTAAAAAATGTTATATCCCTGCAACAGAACCCAGTCTGTCTTGAAAATCACTGGCTGTGGGCAACAATTCATACTTATTATGCAAAAAGAACTTATTGAAAACAGGATTGTGTGTATTCCGCACTTAAAATTGGGGTGGGTGGGTGATCACAATTCTGTGCCAAAACAAGTTTGTGAACTATATAAACTGCACTTTAAGCAGATTTACATGATTTCCCTTCTTTTGCAGACTACTGTATATTCTCCATTTTTAATTTATTCTGCAGTGGGTGGGACAAGATGGTATACAGAGCACAGAAACGCACACACAAACGTTTGATGAAAACTGAACCTCTTAGGCAACTCAATCCTTCGCATCTTTTCTGTGCTTCTGCAAAACCCTAATTCAGAACCCTATTTCTAACTCTTGACGTGAAAAAGCAATTGTACAATTTGCCCTTTCTCAGTCTGCTGGTGGACATAGTTTTCTACTGAAAATAAAATTTGGAGTACCTGAGCAATGTCCAAGGTGTCTGATATCAATCTGTTCTTGTCTCAGGCAAGATGCTTCTCGAACAAAGCATGGGTTGTTATATGAACTTCCGTCAGATGCGCAAACAGGATTAAAACTGTAGCCGCTGCAGTCTATGTTGCAGACGCACCTATTGACACAAACATGCGCTTGGATGAGGACCAATTAATTCAGCAGTCTGCATTTTGTACAAGTGGCACACTTGTATCTGCACTCTGCGTATAAAAGGCAACCATAGTCCTCATTAACACAAACTCATACTTCATTTAATAATATTAGTGAGTCAAAGCATCTAAAATGCACCCTTGAACCCATGGCCCCGACAGCGTAGCCCATAATACTCACAGCCACTCTCACTCCTGTGGCCATCCTCCTAGAGATGTCCACTAGTTTGCACTGACATTAGACCACCAGGCTACCTGTGATTTCAAGGCCAACTTGCGGGTCACTTTGGTGATCAGTCGTGCACTAAAGTGATACAGGTGCCAAGGACAGACTTTGGTCATCTTCCATAATATGGCGCCCTGTGCAAGGCCAAAATTTTGTACAAGCACTTCGGATGAGGACTGGACCATGTGAAAAAAGAACATAAGATTTTAGCTGCAGTTCATTCACTTTCAGCTTTGTATTCTTGTCATTAAAAAAGCACCTCTAGACATTCCTATTTCAAACACTGCTGGTATTCAGAGGCAAATAGGACTGGCTCCAGAGGGGTGGGACTACACAGAAAAACCTCTTAGCACGCATTAATTCCTTCTGCGGAATCAGTGCTATCATCTTTCAATGTCTGAGAAATGGTCCATTTAGTAAATGGCCCATTTAGTCTCAGAGTGGCCAATCAGATGTCTGTGGGAAGCATGCAAGCAGATCCTAAGTGCAACAGCACTCTGCCCATGCACAAGTAACTGCAGCCCCATTGATTTCAATGGAACTAAGTGCATCTGGATCATGGGGTTATATTCAGTGCAAATTTGGGGACAATGTAGGACATGGGTGGGGAGAGAGAGAAGTCCCATTATGCAAGTGAAAGTTGTTCTGCTCCCATATTTTTTTAGCTGAATACCAGCCATAATAATTAAACGTAGACTGAAAAATGCAGCTTTTTAAAAAAGAAATGCATCACATTTTTTTTGTCAGGGTATCACTAGGCAACAGACAAAAGGTGCCACTAAAAAGCTGCAAATTGTCAATTATTTAGTTTTCTCTTGTATTTTTTTTTCCCCATCTAGGGTAGACGGAATCTCTTTCTTGACTCCCAAGTGGCTTTTCCTTATGGGACACCTCAGATCTTGTCGTTGCTGAAAAACCATTACAAAGAAGATACAACAGTATAAATTTCTGTTCCTTCCTATAAGTCAGGAAAAAGTTGTGGTGGTGGTGGTGTTCTTTTAAAGCAAAATAAATAAATAAATTTATTGCTGCAGGGCGGGCGGGGGGAAAGCTGCAGTAACAAAAGCATTCATTCATGCTTTTCAAAACCCTGTCACATTGGTTTGATTATGCTGTTCTGAAAAACAGGATCATGCAATCTGGATTATTTCCTATCGCATTCAGCTAAACCACTAGAAGGCTTTTCAGCAAAGTGTTTCATCTCACAAGCAACAGAGAGTTGCAAAAGTGAAAGCTTATGCATCCAGCATCCTGATGCAGGGGTCAAGAGTGCCTCTAGCCTTGCACAACTTCCGACATTCCCCACCTCCTCAAGAATGCCGAAGACAACTGTATATTGCATCATGGCAGGTACCTGAGACCCATTCAACCATCTTAGAGGGACACCAAAAACAGGGTTTATTCAGAAGCTGCAGAGTCACCATAGTTATGCAGGCCTACAGCTATGGACAGGCAAAGCAAGGTCTACTCCATTTTCCAGGAAATGGGTTGAGGCCTGGAAGTAATCAGCTTCATAATAAAGATGGCATTATGTAGCATTGTGGGACATCTATGGGAGAAGAAAAAAAAGGCCGAGGAGCAAACACTGCACAAATCCAGAGTTTCTAAGACGGTTGGATGGCGTCTTGTACGCCTCCTTCCAGCAATTCCTGAGCCAAGCTGGTGCCAAACGCATTGCGCTGCTTTCCTTTGGACCACATCAGCAAAGTCGAAAGGGGGGTCTTGTCGTCTGGACAACCCAGGACCTCCATACACACTGCCCAGGCTTGCGCCCCCGGAAGGTGGTTTGACTTCGCACACTCCATTGTTTATCGACACAGACAGAGGCCAACCACAAGCTAGCAGTGAAGGTTCACGATTGCAGAGCATACGGGAGCTCCATATAGGTCTGAGCAGGAAGGTCTGAATAGGGCTGTAACTGCATTTGGTTGGACACAGTTACAGTGTTCCCTGCAATGGTGAGACCTGATTGTACAGGGTTCCTATAAACACATCTGAGCACATGTGAGTACAGTCTACTTTCAATCCTTTATCCTCCAAGTGGGAGAAGGGGCCAGGTAAAAATAAGTAAGGGGACCCTTGACCATTAGGTCCAGTTGCGGACGACTCTGGGGCTGCGCACTCATCTCGCTCTATAGGCTGAGGGAGCCGGCATTTGTCTGCAGACAGCTTCCAGGTCATATGGCCAGCATGACTAAGCTGCTTCTGGCGAATCAGAGCAGCGCACGGAAACACCATTTACCTTCCCGCCGGAGAGGTACCTATTTATCTACTTGCGCTTTGACGTGCTTTCGAACTGCTAGGTTGGCAGGAACAGGGACCGAGCAACGGGAGCTCACCCCGTCGTGGGGATTCGAACCGCCGACCTTCTGATCAGCAAGCCCTAGGCTCTGTGGTTTAGACCACAGCACCACCCGCCAGAAAACATAGTTTTCTGCTCTCTATGGGACATAATTTAAGAACGCCTGGATGGGAAGTTCAGATCAGACGAATCTTTATTTGCATCAGCCACTAGCCATAGCCATAGCCAATGCAATGCAATGCAATGCAATGCAATAAAATAAAATAAAATAAAATAAATAAAATAAAATAAAATAAAACAAAAGTACTGAAGACAGAGGTAAAAACTTAACTATACAAAATACATTTTGGAGGTTTACATCAATAATCAAATAATAGATCTTATTCTAATTGCCCCCGCCATAAACCTTGCAGTTTTTGCTGTCACCTGATCATCATGATCTGCTATAAGAAAGGACACAGTAGCAATGGTTGAGCGACCTAGTATGGACAGTAGTAGAGGGGTAATAATCTCACTCCTCAAATCTTTATAAAGAGTGCAGGCTAGAAGCACATGAACAACTGATTCAATACTACCATCTCCACATGGACATAACCATTTTTCCAGTGGAATTTTCCTGGGTGGGAAGCATTAATGACATGAATGTTTGCGTATTATATACATAATTGAAGAGGGAGATGCAACATCAAGCTATGGAGTACTGATTTCTTACCTAACTTGAAAACATTCTTTTGGTGGGGTCAGTAGAGGCCAGATAAATGATCTAGGGTCATATCTAGCCAGCAGCCAGCCAGCTGAATGTCCCTGGTCTAAACTATCAGAGTGGAGTGTATTGGTCTGGACTGACACTGCTCCAAGGGAACATCAGAATCCATATTTGCTCTCCAAGGATTTGCAACTCACGGATCAGGAATTGGCTAAGTTGCAGGCAGAAAGTGTAGGAATAAATGGGCAGTTCTGTGAAGAGTAAAGAAGCTTTGGCAAACCCCTCCCTTTATTATCCCCACAGGAAGAGTTTTGCCAAATCTTCTGGTGCTGTTCAATGCTGAGGAAATGGGTTTAATGAGCACTGGCTACATATACACAAAACATTGAAAGCAACCTGCCAAAGAATCCTGGAAGTTATAGTTTGTTGAGGATGCTGGGAACTGTAGCTCTGTGAGGGGTAAACTAAAGTTCCCAGAATTCGGATGTGTGTGCTTTAAATGTATGATATGTATGAAGTCTGAGTTGCTGTGGGAGTCAATAAGTGGTGGGGCAAATTTTGCTCACCATTCAGTCCTTACTCAGTTGAAAAGACAGCTGCCCACCCTCCAATTAAATATTAGTTGCTGACACAGGTGCTGAAGAAAAAAACCTGAGCTAGATTTGACAAATGTAGCTTTCCCTCTATAAAGATCAAAAGCCACATATCGCAACGGTGTCAAGTGGAATTTCCACAGCAGGCTATCCTAAAACCACGGTGGCTTGTGACTAGAATATTAGCTTCTTCCTCTCAGTAGGAAACCAAAGTTGCCTTGAGAGAGGTGATGTTCCATCCCAAGGGTTGCCATGGATACGTCCAGTCACAAGCTTCCAGCTGTGGCGTTCAACCCTGTCAGTGTCAGTTAAGGGTAATTTAAAACAACAGGTCACTAAGCAAAGTGGCACAATTTGTTCAAATGCCCATTTGCAGGGGGTCACTCTGGCTAAGCATGGAAGAAGGTCCATTGCTCGACTTCATGGACCTCGGCAGAGAAACATGTAGCTTAAGAAGAAGAATATCTCTCAGGAAACATATTTATTCGTGACATTTGTACTCTTCCTTAACCTCCTAGGAGTTTGAGACAAGAGTCAATCCTTCTAATTAATCCTCACAACAATCTCGTAAGGTAAATTCAGCTGAAAGGGGATTAGGTGACTGAAGGTCACTCACTCAGCTTCATTACTGAAGGGTCATTGAAGTTCAGGTTGACCATTTCTGGATAAGGTCCCACAGCCCTCTGTCAGTCAGAGGGGAAAGCTACATTCCACACATGGTACTTCTAGTTCTAACAAACTGGGTGCACCCCCCCCCCAAATATTGAAATGTTTAGCTCTGACAACGCTTATCAACTTGTTTTGTGGGTAGAAGTCTTGGTAACTTGACACCCTCACCTCCTAATGGATTAACACCATCAAAGCTCACAGCACCCTTCCATCCCTTCGGCAGGAAATAGCTATGTGAGAGGATCTCTAAACAGATGCCAGCATGAGTCAAATCCTTGGGTTTCTGGGGCATCCCAAAATATGTGAGCGTTTCCCAAATGACCAGAGAAATCTATGGCCTAGTTCACATACAAACATGCATGCATTGATGACTGCCCTCTGGTATATCCAGTGGGATTTCTGGATTCCACCCCTTCACCACCCTTTGAACAAGACTCCCATGCCATATCACATCGCAAGCTTCTTTTGCGAGCCTCCTCATTTTCAAGAATGATCTTATTAGCCGACATTGGGGTGTGGGTGTGTGTGGGTGTGTGTGTTGATGTTTGAGAAACACAAAGCCCAAAGAGACCTTTCACGTGTGGGATTGTTTGCACAGTTCACTGGAGCAGAGCCATTTGTTTGGCTTTTGTATATGTCAGGCATTGCACTTTTTGCTTCTGTAACCAAGCCAACACTCTACATAAGAACATCCAGAGACCCTCACAAAACTTAACATATTTACATTGGTGTTCAGGAGAGCGGTAGGAAGATGTGATGCCACTGTTCTTGGCACAGCTGGGTTTTTTAAAAATATAGATGCAGAAAGCAAACCAAATCCCAGTGGCTCTTAAGTTCCAGTAACACTTTAGCAAGTCTATATCAAGTGGCATTTGTTTCAGTGATTAAAAAAATCTAGATCATTATCTGCTCAGTCTGTGATAATGTTAATCATATTTTGAAAAACCTCCTTGCACTTGAAAAATAGCAAATCAAATATCTTAGACAATTTTAGGGCATGCCTGGAAAATAACATGTGTCAAAGCAAAACAGGGAAGCACCTGATTTACTGTAATACTTTGCTAGGAAACCTAATTCTTAGGATACACTTCTGTACACATTTAAAGATTTTGTCGCTCTAGTCATGAAATAGCTCCTCCCAAAACCTCTACTTACATCGAGGAGGAAGAATTCAATGCAGGTAAGGGAAGAGCAAAATGCTCAGACCTTATTTGTAAGTTTCTTCCTATGCTGCTCTGCAGAACACTGAAAGGACCAGAAGGATGGGAGTCAATGGCATGCTTGCATTCTATGCTGTTGTTATACTGCCAAAATAACCACATAACCACCAGCCTCATCCACATGTTCCTTCAAATGTAATTACAGTTGTGTAGCAGCAGCTACATGACTGCTGGCAATGTTTGAATAAAGTTTCTGTTAACTACGCTTGAAGATCTCTAGATCAGGAGAAGTAGGATTAAGTGCACCTAGTTATGTGTGCGTAACCACACAAATTACTAGTACTTCCCTACAGCTCCAAACCCATGTCTGAAACGTAACTCTATGTACATTTGGAAAAACAAAGCTGGCAGGAGACAGTTGTAGATAAATACCAATTAATGAGCAAAGCTTCTCTACTGCAAACTGCACCCTCTCCACCCCAATTTGAACAGGACAAGCAGGAGCTGACCTCTGGGCACATGTTACGGTTGAATTATGGCCGGGAAGGCTGAATTTATTGATCTGAAATGACTAGCCACGCCATTGGTAGCAGACAAAGCTACATTACTTTATTTGCTGGCAATATTTCTCTCCCGATTTCTCTTTCCTGTTTTCATTATCAAACTCCACTTGGAAAAACTCACACCTCTGCTATCCCTAAATCCAAAATTCATAGTGTGGCCCAAGGACAGCTGTCCGGTTGTGGTACATGCTATGGTTGGAATTGTTATGCAGGTTGATGTGGGCATGCAGCTGGAGGGGAAGGGTTCTGTTGGATTGCACTCAAAATAAATGTTAGGAAAACCAGATCATCACTCTCATAATACTGAAAATAATGCAATCCAACAGTGGGTCCAACGGTCAAGAAGGTGGTTTCTGCATGTGCTGTAGAGGGAAGTGAGGGGCAGATGGGGCTCGTCCACCTGGGAAGGTAGCCCTGATCCTAAGCCTCTGCTGCCTTGCAAAAAAAGCTGATGAGTAAACCCTACACAAATCCAGAGTGGAATCTCTAAGACTGTTGGATGGCCCCTCGCATAACTCTTCCTGGCAACTCCTGCAGCCAAGTTGGTGCCAAATGTATTGCTCTGCTTTCATTTGGACCACATCAATGAGTCCGAGAGGGGTGCTTGTCTTCTGGGCAGCCCAGGACCTCCATATACACTGCCCAGGCTTGTGCCCCAGGGAGGTGACTTTGATGCTAATAATGCAGAAGTTTGACTTCACCCCTGGAGTTATACTCCATTGTCTCTCAAGACAGATGGATGCCAACAATAATAAGGGAGATTTTTTTAAAGAAATACACATTATCAAGATGCTTCTTCTGTGTTTTTGGAGGATCTTGATGGAAGTTATTTCCCTTCTCCCACGTTATCATTTATTTATTTATTTATTTATGAAATAAAAGAAACAGGGATGAATTATAATTTAGAGATATTTTCTCAGCAGGAATTGTTCACATATTTATATGCAGGAATGTCACATACTGTACTAATTTGAATCTATCCAAATGTTAATTTTCCAGCCGTGCTGTGCAGCTCATGACAACCACCTGCTCAAAATTCACATCTTTCTCTTAATCAGCCCAATAAACATTAAAAGAAAGCACCAAAAGGGAAAAAAATCTGCCGAGATAATAGAAGTGATAAAGTTGTGTATATTTCTGTGCTGAATGTAATGTGCTGTGGTACCTCTGACAGTCTAATTACAGAATACTGCTTAGAATGAAAAATGCAAGTTTGCAACCTTTTCTAAGGATGCTTTTAAACCCAGAATGCAGAGCTGAGGCTGCTCCACCATAATGGCTGCATGCCTCAATAGACTGTGGGAAAGCATATGTTCTCTAAATATAGGTGAACATTTGACTTTTGCATGGCTGGAATAAAGTGTACCGTTCAAAGGTAAGTAACACAGCCATTTCCCGCATCCACTTTGACCTATGAACCCCCCCCCCAAGTTGTCTCAAGGACGTATGGCCATGCAGCTACAAATGGCTCCCCCAACACACCGCCGGCTAAGAGTCACTTTCCCCCTTATGTGTGATGTTCTGTTGTGTTGTTGTGTTTCTGTGTTTTATGTTGGAAGCTGCCCAGAGTGGCTCGGACAACGCAGTCAGATGGATGGGATACAACAAATACATCGTCTACATCCTCCTCCGCCTCATCATCATCATCATCATTACTTACCCAACATTTTCTGCATCTTCATCACACTCAGCCCTATACTTGCAAACGCCACACTTGGAATGTTTTCTTTGAACTTCAGTTCCAGATCCTTCATATTCTAGAGCAAGATCAAGTCAACACAAAGTATTGTTTAATTAAATAAAAATAAAACAACAACAACAGAGAACACATTTTCATATTATTGACACTTTCCCTTGAAAGCGGCTTGCATGGAGACATCCTGTTTCGTCCTTTAAAGGTATCCTATGAGACTGAGACATGGCAACTAACCCACAGCCAGCCCGGTGAGCCTCATGACCCAACTGGGGGGGCTGACCCCACACCTTTCTACCCAATTGCTCTTTCCTCTATATTACACCAGCTCACAACATTAGCTAAAAGATTTGTATACTCAAACTCTTTGCCACTGGAGATAAAAAAAACCTGCATGCTGGTACACAGCAGATGCAATTTACTCTACGGTAGCTACCTAATCTAAATATCTGAATTTGCTGCCGTTCCGAATGACAAAATGGAAATGTTTCACATGCATATTTTACTGCAAATTGATCGTTATACTGAAGTTTTCCTCTGCAGTCAAATATCCAAGAATACAATGGATGCCAGGTTGTTATTATCCAAAAGCAGCAAGTGCTTTTGCTTTATAAACCAGGGGTTGAGGACAGAACTAAGCTTGGGCGTGCTGAATGAAACCACAAACACCTGAGAAGCTCTTTATGCAGAAAGCACCTTGCAAATGCCAGATTTACACCAGCACAAGCATGACTGATAAAAACTGGTATTTCAGTGTTTGAAATATTTATCACTACCATTGTTAAACATCTTTGAGTGCTCAAAATGTTTCACATCAATTATCTTACAATACTTACAGCAATTTTGTAAAGTAGGCAACTGTCATTATTCCCATGTTACTTTTTTTTTAAAAAAAAGTTATTTATTTGTAACATTTATATTCTGCCTTTTCTGCAATGAGCTCAAGTTGGCAAACCTGAAACTGCGGCTTGTCTGAAGTCACTTAAGTGAGTTTGTAGCAATGGCACATTTTTGAATTGGCATCTTCCACATTTGCCACTCTTGGCCACTGTACTACACCAGCTCCCCTATACATTATTCTGAGGCAGTGATCACATGTCACACTAAACCATGGTTTAAATTGTACTGGAATGTGCATGGGCTGCAGCGAGCCTCTGACTTGTGTGTGTCCTCTCTCCTCTCAAGTATCTAAAAGGAGGAATTCAGAAGCTTTTGCAGTAGCTCATTGGTACAGCCACAGAGGAAAGCCTACAGTTCACTGGTAGACCACCTGCTTTGCATGCAGAATGTCCCAGGATAAATCTCCAGACCCCTGCCTTGGAAATGTGGCATTTCAGGTCAATATAGACAATATTGAGCTATATGGACCAATGCTCTGATTCAGTACAAAGCACAGCTTCCATATTTAGTTTACCACAGTTTGCTGTTTTGTCTGGATCCAGAATTGTGGTTAACCCTAACTATGGTTAGTTTCAGCCAGTCAGCTTCAGAATCCACAATTGGAAGTCAGCTTACTTGAAACTAAAAGCAGTTAATATTAGCCACATTTTTGTCATATGAGACAAAAAAACAAAGTATGAAAGCGAAAAGCAAGCACCTGAGCCCAAGATGCACTGTGGCTCATTCCTGCTCATGTAAAGGTAAAGGTAAAGGTAAAGGTAAAGGGACCCCTGACCATTAGGTCCAGTCGTGGATGATACTGGGGTTGCGATGCTCATCTCGCTCTATAGGCCAAGGAGCCGGCGTTTGTCCACAGACAGCTTCCGGGTCATGTGGCTAGCATGACTAAGCCGCTTCTGGCGAACCAGAGCAGCGCACAAAAATGCCATTTACCTTCCCGCCGGAGCGGTAACTATATCTACTTGCACTCTGACGTGCTTTCGAACTGCTAGGTTGGCAGGAACAGGGACCGAACTATGGGAGCTCACCCTGTCACAGGGATTCAAACTGCCGACCTTCTGATCGGCAAGTCCAAGAGGCTCAGTGGTTTAGACCACAGTGCCACCTGTGTCCCCCTGCTCATGTACATCACACTAAATTAGCAGGATGTACAAATCTGGCCAGTTGTATTACTGGTTCAGATTAAAAAAATAATAATAATAGAATTATACAACTCATGTGGCGGACACAGTGGAAAAGGTACAATTTAAAATTTGTATATATGCTTAGAATTATACCAATCCCAACCTGTAACTGCTACAATCAACTGTTGTGCGTAACAGACAGATGGCAGTTAGCTGAATAGTGCATACTGATTATCAATTTATTAATTACTAAAAGCAATCTGCCAGGGACTTTAATCACCATCATACTTTAAAAACCGAATTTTGGAAAGAGGGACTCTGAAACAAATTATTTCAATAATAATTAACATGACGATCTGTATTGCAAGCATGCCATTTCCCTAGCTTGAAAGCCGAGACTAATCAATTGCCATCTGTCCACAATTAAATATGGGTGTGTGTTTTTTTAAAAAGGTGCCTAATTTAAACTTTGTTTAGGTAAACAAGCACTCACTGTGGTTAGTGTTAAACAAAAAGAATAAGAAATGAAACTGCATGGCAATTAGCCATTACTCCATTGAGGAAGCACTGAACAGGTTGCTTCCTGGAGAGTCATCCTCTCTTAACAGCCCTGCAGCTGTGAAAGAGGCTTCTGTCCCATCATGCACACTCCTTCAGCCTGCTGGGAGGAGAGATGCGCAATTGGACTAGGATGATTCTCTGAGGTCATCTGTAACATTTAATGCACTGTGTTCCTTGTTGTTCTGTGTTTGGGAGAAGTCTGATCAATACAGTGGTGCCTCGCAAGACGAAATTAATTCGTTCCGCAAGTTTTTTCTTCTTGCGAGTTTTTCGTCTTGCGATGCACGGTTTCCCATAGGAATGCATTGAAAATCAATTAATGCGTTCCTAGGAAACCGACTTCAGACCAGGTCCGGGGACAGTCTGTCCCCGACCTCTTCTGAAGGCTGGGGGGGACAAGGGCTTTTCTTCCCACCCCCAGCATTTTAAAAACCCGGGACAGCGGAGGGCTTCTCCGCTGTCCGAGGCGATCTTAAAATGCTGGCGGGCGGCATTTTAAAATTGCCCCGGGACAGCGGAGGACTTCTCCGCTGTCAGGGGCACTTAAAGCCCCTGGGAAGGCAGGCAGGGGGACAAAGACTTTGCCCCCGCCAGCCTTCCTCTTCTGAAGGTTGGCGGGGGCGAAAGTCTTTGTCCCCCCACCTGCCTTCAAAAGCTGTCCAGCCAAGGCTTCGCGGACCTCTCCGCAAGCAGCGGCAGCACTGCCGCTGCTTGCGGAGAGTTGCCGGCATGCCGAAGCCTGCGCGCGCTGAGATCAGCGCGCCCAGGCTCGCGGACCTCTCCGCGAGCAGCGGCAGCGCTGCCGCTGCTCGCGGAGAGTTGCCGGCATGCCGAAGCCTGCGCGCGCTGAGATCAGCGCGCCCAGGCTTCGCGGACCTCTCCGCGAGCAGCGGCCGCGCTGCCGCGGCTCGCGGAGAGTTGCCGGCATGCCGAAGCCTGCGCGCGCTGAGATCAGCGCGCCCAGGCTTCGCGGACCTCTCCGCGAGCAGCGGCCAGCGCTGCCGCTGCTCGCGGAGAGTTGCCGGCATGCGCGAGCCTGCGCGCGCTGAGATCAGCGCGCCCAGGCTCCGCGGACCTCTCCGCGAGCAGCGGCAGCGCCTGCCGCTGCTCGCGGAGAGTTGCCGGCATGCCGAAGCCTGCGCGCGCTGAGATCAGCGCGCCCAGGCTTCGCGGACCTCTCCGCGAGCAGCGGCAGGCGCTGCCGCTGCTCGCGGAGAGTTGCCGGCATGCCGAAGCCTGCGCGCGCTGAGATCAGCGCGCCCAGGCTCGCGGACCTCTCCTGCCTTCAAAAGCCGTCCGGGATAGCAGGAAGCGCTTCCCTGCTATCCCGGACTGCTTTAAAATGCTGGCGGTGGGGAGCAAAGCCTTTCGGCCCCGCCAGCCTTCCTGGACCTCTTCTGAAGGCCGGAGGGGAAGGCTTTGCTCCCCCCGCTAGCATTTAAAAGAGGTCCCCGGAGATTTCCCTATGGGCTTTCGTCTTGCGAAGCAAGCCCATAGGGAAATTCGTTTTGCGAAGCGCCTCCAAAACGGAAAACCCTTTCGTCTAGCGGGTTTTTCGTCTTGCGAGGCGTTCGTCTTGCGGGGCACCACTGTATAGGTTAGCTGTGATCAGTCTTGGCTAAGTCTGATCAATAGACGTTACAGTAGAGGTGAGCAGTCTTGGTTAAGTCTGATCAATCTAGACATTACTTGTGGCTGGTCCTTCCTCAGGATTGCAACATATGGCTTTGAAGCTGCCTCCTGCCCCATAATTTTTGGAGCATTTTAGAGTTCCTGGGCAATACCAGCTGGGCTGATTCTGATGATCTAACTCCACAGGAGATAAACTCTTGCCACAGTGACGTGAGGTGCTGCCCCGCACTTCCTTACCGTGACCAGTGTGCCTGAAAATAGCTATGGTAAGACTGGAGATAACAACTCCTGGCTAAAGGGCTGGGAAGAGTGCCAATCAAATGACTACCAGTGAGAAGAAAAACTCCCATGTTGTCCCATGGAGACAAGAGTTTAGTAGGGGCTCACTCTCTCCCATCATACCTCACTTGCCTAGAGCTAGAAGATTAGCTGTGTACACCAGCCATGTTCTACGTAACTGTCCTGATACTGAGGAGGATTTTTGGCATTCCTTCCCATGTGGTAGTGGTAAGGAACCTGCCAGTGCCTAGTTGATGAGTCTGGGCATTCGGGGACTCTCGTCACTCCCAAGGTGACAAAAAGCACTACAGCAGAGTGCTACGCCTTCTATCTCCATGAACATTTCAGAGGCACTAGCTATAAACCAGAGCATGGCCTGGTCACGCCATCAACTATGGAAAGCAAAGAATTAAAGGAGCAATCCACCCCACAGTAGTGTGACTGCTCAGGCAATGCTGAAGGCACTCACTCACCTGATCACAACAACAGCAAACACTAGCATGACACCTGGCTAGTGAGCTACTACAGAGTGGACCCATCAACAAAGATGCGCAGTTTTGCAGGCCATTTGGATCGCCAACAGGACAAGTTTACATGTCAGGCGTAAGGCCCACTGAGCTTAGTAGGGGTTGACTCCCAGGAAGGGGGTAGAAAATTGAAGCCCAGGTAAAACTAAAACCTTCATCCAAGGATCATGGGGCAGTTTACAATATAAAAACACCAAATACATAAAATTCTAACAAGCAAAACAATACCCTATACTACAGGCACACAGTTTAAAAGACCACAAATTGTTTAATTGTGGTTTTTAAGGAACAAGAAGACATATCCAGGTAAGAAACGGCTGCAGGAAAACCCAGACACACACAATAATCATTCATACCTTCCTTAGAAATATATGAACTGACAGCTTAAACTGAGTTAAAGTATCAGTCCATTCTAGCCTATTGTCTTCTATAGCTGGCAGGGGCTCTCTGAGGACTCAGCTTTCCCAGCTGTGCAAGCCAAGGTCCATTTTAAATGTAGATACTCTGATTAAAGTCATGCAACGCATGCACTATTCCACTGAGCTGTGGGCTCTCCCAAAACAAAACAACCTAAGAAGTTAATTTGCTCTCTCATCCAACAAAAGCTGAAATTCCATCCATTAGCGCAATACAGAGTTAAGAGGTAAAGGTAAAAGTAAAGGGACCCCTGACCATTAGGTCCAGTCGTGACCGACTCTGGGGTTGTGGTGCTCATCTCGCTTTATTGGCAGAGGGAGCCAGTGTACAGCTTCCGGGTCATGTGGCCAGCATGACTAAGCTGCTTCTGGCGAACCAGAGCAGCGCACGGAAATGCCATTTACCTTCCCGCCAGAGCGGTATCTATTTATCTACTTGCACTTTTGACGTGCTTTCGAACTGCTAGAATGGCAGGAGCAGGGACTGAGCAACGGGAGCTCACCCCGTCACGGGGATTCAAACTGCCGACCTTCTGATCGGCAAGCCCTAGGCTCTGTGGTTTAACCCACAGCGTAACACTGATTTATAGCTGATGTTTTTCTCATTTGTGCAATAATCGCACCAGGGGCAAAATGCCCGCTGCTGCCCCTGTGATGGGGTGGTGGGCAAACTCTCTAAGGACAAATCTCCACTGGCTGTGCGGGAGAGGTATCTTTTCCAGATCTCCCCCTCCTGCCCCTGGCAGCAGGGCTTTGCATTGACTCCTCCCTTCATTAGAAGCCAGTGCAAAGCCCCCCACCCAAACAGCGGGCAAAGCTGAGAGGCAGAACGCTTCCCCTCTTGCAGGAGGGAGGTATTCCACAGAGGTTTGCCACTGACTCCTCTACCCCTAAAGGCAGGGGAAACCAGCTGTTAACTGGACAGTGGAACAGGGGTGCTGCCCCTTGGGTGGGTACCACCTGAGGCAGTTGCCTCACCCTACCTAATGGGGGGGCTTTTTAGTGCACATATTGGTGCATCACTGATAGAAAAACAAACGGCAGAATCCAGTAAAAGTTATGAAACTTTGATTTTAATGGGAATAATTTAAGCAGATGCTTAATCTCCCATTGAACAATGCTTAATTTTGGCTATTGAATGACATAACTTTTTTTAAAAAAAAGTTAAGGCTCCTGACTTGTATTTTTCAAGGAAATGGTTGAATTGTTCACAAACTTTTCAGAAATCACCTTTTGCCAAGGAAAAGCAATCTATGTACCGGTAGTTGTGTTTTTCTGCAGTACGTGTAAACATTTCCAGCTAGGATCCTGCATTCACACAAAAGAACAAAAATATCAGCAATACTCACCCCCTTCTCCTGATCCAGAACCATTATCTGAAAAGAAAAAAATAGAATTATCTGGGACTGAATTTTGTAATTTTAATTTTCTTTATTTAAAAGCCTTTATAAGCTGCTTGATTGTATTGAATGGGCAAGACCAACTGAATGGAGAGGAATAACAAGCAGCACTGGGAGGCAGGGAAGATAAACTGGTGTGACTAAATACCCTTCAGGTTCACAGTTCTTACTCTGTTCCCACTCCTATATGATAATGTGTTTTCTTGGTGAGAAAAATCCCATCAGCAGCCTGATCCACAAAGGCCAGGAGCATTATTACAAGATGTTCCAGGTTGTTGAGTGCTGAATTCCACAAGGCCCATAGTATCCATCGGCAATTACCCCCCGGACTCTGTACTTCTTCTGCCTGCTTGGACTGCCAATCAAAGCCTTATGTAAACAGCTACAGGGATCTAGAGCCCAGGCCAGCAAATTATTTAATAGGGATGCTGTCTGAATCAGCCAAGTGCAAAGAGGCGTCAACCAGCACTGGTTTTACCCACCTGAAGCAAGACGCAAGGGGTTCTTCAATGTCTTCCTCTCTGATTTGGCAGAGTCTCTCCCTTTACTTACCCTAGCTGCTCATTCCAATTTCCCTGCATCTACCCACCTCACAGAAGACAGCAACCAAAATGCATAAAGGAAGGAGTCCGACAGCACCTAAACTACTCTTTTTGCCTAGGTCTCGGCCTGGGAAAAAGAGGCTTAGGAGTATGAAGTGGTACGGCAGAAGATGTCTGAAGAGCGTCAAGAGGCAAACAAGACTAAAGGAGACAGTATGTAGGCATTTCTATGTGGCCACCGTACATTTAATGCCATCAAATAAGAAACTTCATTTCATGTGTGTATGTCTGAGTTCAGTTCCCTAACACAACCTTCCCCAGTCGGGTGTCCTTTAGATGTTGTTGCAGTACAACTCCCATCATTCTTGGTCACTCTCTATGCTGGCTATGGGTGATGGAGTTGAGATTCCCAACATTTTTAGGACTCACCCTGTTCTTTGGACTGTAAATGGTTTTAATTGGTTTTAATATAGTAATTCTATATCGTTGTAACTTAGGGTGAAGGACAAATCTGAAGACAGAAAACAACATCTGGTTGAAGAAGGTTGCCCTTACATATGGCCCAGAAGGACATATATAGCCTTAATGATGGCCCAATCAGTGGTGAAGGATGCATTAACTCATAATGGGATAAGTGGGGGAATCCCAACTGGACAATAAAATGGCGGCCATCAATCTCCTTACTCCTTTTAGAGCCACAGCCATGACTTGATGGATGTAACCCAATGAAGAGATGGCAGATCACTTAGCTCCCCTGCTGAATTTCTTCCTGCCTTCCTCCCACGTATTCCTTTCCTCAAATTCTCAGTCCTGATCCTCCCTCATCCCCTGCAATTTCCCCTCCTCTGAATGCAGGGCAGAGCATGCCAAGAAGGAGTTGCTTACAGTGACTTTAAAATGAGGCAGTTTCTTGCAAAGAATAATAGAGACATCATGGCCAATCCATTACAGAGTCAGAAAACGCAGCATGAAAAGAAAAAGTTCTACATTTGAAGAGCAGTTCACATCAAGCAACTTAACTGGCTGCACACAACGACAACAAAGCACTTCCTACGTTGCCTTGCCTTTCAGAATTAAAAGATTTAGACATGTCTGGTGAATTGGTTTTAACCTTAGTCATCTTATGATGGTCTGAGTAAGTATTAAGGCACTAAATTTTCTGGAAACTATGTGATTTCCTTCTGTCCTCCTCTCCTATTCTTCCTCATTCTAAAACAATGAAAATAAAACAGCAGAGCTGGTGAGAGGGGAACAGACTCAGGACCTTGAATGAGAACTATTGATTGCAGAATACAGAACATGCCTCCAGGGTAGATGCGCAATGGAAAATGCTGGTATGTATTAACCCAAAGTGCCACAAACGCAAACATGAGTCAATTCCAACTTTTCTTTGGGGAGTCAATGAAAATGGGGCGGGGGATGTCTTCAGTTTGTGATTTACTTAAGATTAAATTCTTCTCAATTTCATTTTGAAAAGTGAGTAAAATACAGGGAAATAAACTGTGGGTCCCCTGCCCCTTTTGTTTGTACCAGGCTTGTTGTATCAAATAGTAATGGGGAGTCTAGAAAGCAGTTTTTATGCTTGTCTTTTTCTGTCTTTGGTACCTTACATCGTACTAGCTTGGGGATTGCTTGAGACTCATCATTTCCACGGGTTAAATGCTCAAGCATTAGAGACATACTGTCACCCCTCCCCTCCCCCAACCTAAATGCTGAGGGTGGTTTCTTCCTAAGAGCTCCTAAAGAACCCAAATGTGAAACGTCTTATCTTCTAACAAAAATATTTAACCTGTCCCAAGGAATGGCATCTATAGAAGAGGACTGGAAAGGGGTCAATGTAACAGTATTTTTAAAAAGGGATTTCATACCCTCCAACATTTCTCCGATGAAAATAGTGACTTCTCATTCCATAATGATTATTTTACTGTTTATACCCTACATATCTTACTGGGGTGCCCCACCCACTCTGGGCAGCTTCCAACATATGTAATAAACATAATAAAACATTAAACATTTTTTAAAAACCCTCCCCTATACAAGATTGCCTTAAATTGGTTAGGGGGCCGGATAACTCCAACATTTCTCCAGTGAAAACAGGGACATCCTAAGTAAAAGTGGGAAATTCCGGCATCAAATCAGAAACTGGGATGGCATCTCTAAATCAGGGACATCCCTGGAAAATAGGATACTTAGAGAGTCTTGGATTTACGGAAGATCTAAGAAACTACAGAGCTGTTAGCTTAAGGTCTGTGCTGAGTAAATTGGTGAAAAGCATTACTAAATATAAAATTATCATGCATATAGAAGAACAACATAGAAAGCCAGTGTGGGGTACAGCAGAAGGGAAAGTGTCTGCACAATCCAATTAAGCATTTTCCATATATAAAAGTCTCTGTAAGCTAGAGCCTTGCCTTAAAAAGAGAATGAACTGTCCACAGTCAGGATCAAAAGGCTACCATGGTCCACAATGCTTTCGGGGGGGTTAAAGATGATGTTCCTACTCAGGAAGTAACTCTGTGTTTGGTCGGTTCCACTGCAGATTGTGGCTAGTGGAAGCACATTATGGAATGCCCCCTCCCCAATAATTTTATGTACACAGAAACTAGGTGTCAGATGAAAGATATTTTTGCCTAGCCTTTATCCTGATTCTTTGCACCACTTTAGTCTTCTTCCCATTGCTTTTATATCTCCACCGCCTGTTTAAAGCCCACTGTGTCTGCTGGCAATTACCCTAAAGTCACAAGTGTCCTCAGGAGGGTTGCTACCTAATTGCCCAGAGCGGTGCAGCCTCAGATGGAGCCTTAAACTGTTACTTGGCAGGATACAAACAGTAGCTGATCATTCTTTCATGCAAATCTTGGCAAAATGTTCCAAAAAATTCACTCTGAATGCTTAAAGCACAGTAGCTTGCTGTTCAGTTGCAGGAAGTGCAGGCCATGTTAGGTCAAGCGTAAGCTCTTCCCATAATACCCAAGGCCATTTCACACACACTACGCAGCAACGTACCTGGGTTAGTCTCTGAGAAGCATACCTGTATGATATGTCTTTTCAAAGTGTTTTGTTGCGTTCTTTTTTCTAGATGTACACTTGGGGGGAAATCTTAGACATATGCCTTTTAAATATATTATGTGAAGATACCTTCATCTACACACCCTGCCTTTATCATGCCTAAAAACTGTTTCTGCACCAAGGAGAGATAACTATATTAGTTTACAGGTATATGGGTTAAGTCAGCAATGAGATGTCTGCCTCAAGAGAGAGGGAAGGCTGGCTCACAGGTTACAGGAGCAAGTCTTTCTGCTGCACGCACACTGGAGTCCTCTGGGGGGGGCAAGTAATGTGTGAAAACACACCTCTGTGAACACTGAGGGGCAATGCAGAAGGCACATATTAGGAAGTCATAACTATCTTCTGCATTGGGGATGGCACCAGGTTCCGGACGAACTGGGCAAAGTGTCCTTGTGGTTCCCACTTTAACACCACTCTGGCAAGTCTGCGGGCAGCAGCGTAAACTTAACCCCCCCCCAGTCCAGCAATGGTAGAAGTACTCAGTATGGTGGCTGTGGCCCCAAGTGTCTCTGTTTTCTGGGCCCTGATTTCAACTTGGTCTTTCATCTATCGGCTACGGTACGTTCAAAGAAGAAGGAAAAGGTTTTGGTTTTTTTAAATTGCTACCACCTATTTCTACAGGCCATGCATGGTGGGAGATGCACATCTTTCTTGTATACTTTAGGTGCTCCCTGTGAGGATCAAGAGCACAGGCATAGCAAACACTCCGGTAAAGCGTGATCAGCTCTTGGGCAGAAAAGAAACAGGTGATGCCTGTGAATCAGAGCTCAGCACGCATATGGGGCTCTCATTTCCGGACTGCAGCTTGAACTTTAGAGCAGATGGTGTCCTGAGAACACGTGGGGCACCTTCTCCTACCACTGCTGGCAAAAGGGGCATGTGTGTCTGTATGTAGGGGCTGCTCTGCTGGGCTGAGGCCAACAAGGGTCCTGTCTCATTGGCAAGATTTAGATCCTGGTTCGGTGTTGGTTATGAACCTCTCAGCTATGGTACAGGAGGTTCGATAAGCAGGAAAGCTGATATCTGGAACTCCCCCCGCCCCATTTTATTATTCCAAAGGCAAAGTACCTAGGATTTCCTGCTTAACAGCGATGAGGAGATTAAATTGCACCACTGACTTTATTTCCCCCTGCCACCAAACACAGTATATCGTTGTAATTGCATTTCCACTACATAAACAAACACAGACTGTAAAACCCCGGCTGCTGAAGATTCATAATAAGGGCTTGATTACTTCAGATTGAGGGACACTAGTTCAAAATTAAATGTAGCCTTGAGAGTCTCTGCCTTCCCTGCAGTGAAATGTGTTATGAAAGGAATGAGAGAAGCTAGCAAACACCTGACATCTCACAGAGCAATGGTGTTTGCTCTTAATAATGCAAATACAGCACGAAGGTTGGTTGGTTTGTTTTTCCAACTTAAGAGTTTAATAAGGGAGCCAAGAGGTGGTACTTCCCAATAAACAGGTCTCTCTGAAGGTGTGGATTCAGAAATCCATTAGAAAATTAAACTGCATGCCCACTGTGCATGCTTAATTTTACAAATTTAGCAGAAGTCAATCCTGGGAGCAATTATATTTGCTACTGTGGTTAACAGAAACACACAGAAATGAAAATAAATCAGAAGAGTTTAACTTTTATTGCTAATTTGCCAGTAAGATATGTAAGAGAAAATGGCTAACGACCTATTTCAGCTGTGAGAATGGAGAAATGCTAAGGTTGTTTGTGCAACTAGGTGCAGTAATTTTGTAACTACTGGATAGCAACCACAGAATTCAGGTACTCCCAGTATCTTATCTATAATGAAGTGGAGCAGACCAGTGAAGCTGGAGCAACTGCAGGATCCATTGGCACAAACTCCTTGGCATGCCTCTAACCACACGGGCACAAAATTTAGCTCCGTTTGGTTGTTTATTTTATTTCATAAAACGTATGCACTGCTTCATTGTTTAAAGAAAAATCCCTCAGAGTGGTTTACAAATAGATAAAATGATAAAATCAAGGGGGGTGGATTACAGTATTTTAGAACATTTCAGCATTTGAGACTTGGGTCTGAAAACAAAGAGGTTACTGCAAGTCTGAACAGACCTCACTTCAGAAGAGAGAGAGAGATGGGATTGACCCAGAACATGATCTGAGGGCATGGGATGTGCCCACCCTGAGCTCTGTGATGGAAAAAGGAAGGGTGTACCATTTGCAATAGGGACACGGGTGGCACTGTGGTCACAGAGCCTAGGGCTTGCTGATCAGAAGGTCAGCAGTTTGAATCCCCGCGATGGGGTGAGCTCCTGTTGCTCGGTCCCAGCTCCTGCCAACCTAGCAGTTTGAAAGCACATCAAAGTGCAAGTAGATAAATAGGTACTGCTCCGGTGGGAAGGTAAACAGCGTTTCCGTGCACTGCTCTGGTTTGCCAGAAGCAGCTTTGTCATGCTGGCCACATGACCCGGAAGCTGTAAGCCAGCTCCCTTGAGATGAGCGCCGCAACCCCAGAGTCATCTGTGACTGGACCTAATGGTCAGGGGTCCCTTTACCTTTACCTTTTACCATTTGCAATGGCAAGTTTTCTCCTCAGCATTTGATGAAGTAAGCCACAGCTTATGAAATGTCATGGCACAATAAACATGCTACAGTTTCACAGACCCCCTTTGTTGTTTCTGCTGCAACCACTCAACATATCAGTGCTTCTGAAATTTACCTCATCCCAGAAGCCCATGAAAAACAAATGCATCCTCTCTCCTCCCTAAAAGCAGAGTCAAACCGCCTCTGAAAGGTCACTTTCCCAAGAAGGTTGTTTGAGCCGATCTGCCTGAGGCAATGGAACAATTTTGTACTGGCAGCCAGAGATGCAAATAGTCACAGCCTCCAGCGTTTAACTGTTACTTAGCCCCAACAGTGCCCCTGGGGACTGACCCCATCCAATATCCTAGAAAATGCATTGCCTGCCTGAGTCCAGATCAGCGATGTTAAAACAAAAGCTTGCTAAGCTTCCTCCACCAGCTGCACAAACAGCTGGTACTTTATGTCAGGGATGGGCAACATGGCGTCATCCTGACCACTGGCCATGCTGGTTGGGGCTGTTTATAGAGTAGTTGCCCCCTGTTGGCTACCTTGAACCTAGATAGCTGCAAGTTGCGCAGACTTACTTGGGTGCTTCAAGGAAGCCCCTTTGTTTTTCAAACAAAAAGGGCAATAGCCAACCCAAGCTGAGCATTTTAAATTTTCAACATGGCTGCTCACACATTTTACCGGTCTGCACTAACGTGTAACAAAGTTCGCTGGTTTAAAAATAAAAATGAATGTCATGTAGCAATATAACACTACATTATCATAAGCATTCTGAACACTGAAATGGCCAAACAGCACAACAAGGAGCTACAATAAGCACTGGGCATTAGTGACTCGTTTTTCCGATTCACGTTTAGGCATTAAAATAATTTAAGGGTGGTAACTAGATACTCAACTTGCAAAAAAACCACCTTGGTGTCCTACTTGCTTTGCCCCACCAATGTGGTGAATAGCTGGTTTGCCCATAATATGCCAGGCTAAAAGATGGCTGATCTTGTCATTGAAAAGCCTTTCAATATTCCCCAACTATGGCTAAACCAAAACAAGGCAGCTTAGCGAATGGTGTGGACTTGGAATAAGAAAATAAGGTCCCCGCAAGACCTATTTACTACTAGCAATATTACTATTGTTGCTATTCGTAGGTCAGCCAGCCAGTATTTTGCTGATTCAAGTGGTGGTATTCAAACTCCTTCTAGCCTCCAAACATGGCTCACCAGATTCTGCCTTGGCTCCTCTACTAACCTACCAAGTTCCTTCAGGCTCTCAACCAAGCTCTGAAGGTTCTGCCCTGGTCTTATCCACGAAGGGGCAATATTTCTGAAATCAGGAGAAGGCAAAAGCTGATATTCTGATCTTGGAGTTCTTCCAAGGTTTATTTACCTTTATTCATGAAAGGCATAGAAATGTGAAATAGGAGCTTTGTCTCCAGTTACAGGAGAACAGCAACAAAGCCTTCATCCAGATAAAATGAAGTCCAGAGCCACTTACTAACTCAACTAAACTATATGATTCCACCTAAACATTAGGAAGAACTTGCTGACAGTAAGAGCTGTTCGACAGTGGAATTTGCTGCCAAGGAGTGTGGTGGAGTCTCCTTCTTTGGAGGTCTTTAAGCAGAGACTTGACAACCATATGTCAGGAGTGCTCTGATGGTGTTTCCTGCTTGGCAGGGGGTTGGACTCGATGGCCCTTGTGGTCTCTTCCAACTCTATGATTCTATGATGACGCTGTCTACACAATCAGGGCAGACCTTGGTGATATGGCACCCTGGGCAAAGGCAAAATTTGACACTGTCTCCAGTCCTTGACCCGCCTTCCTAAAGCTAGGTAAGAGGTACTGGGCTTTGGGAAGAAGGTGTGAGGCAAGGTCCTAGAGTCCTCCTTTCTCCCTCCCAAAGCCTGTTAAGTGCCTACCAGGTTTTGAGAAGGTGCCCTGCTCGGCTGCATGCCCAGTGTGGGCACTGCCCTAAAATCGCCTCTAACGCAATTACCTGGCATGCACACACCGTAAGCCAAACTGTGGCTTACTGGGACCTTGCAAATGGACACACTCATGAAAAGGAGCTTGCCGCCACTTTGCTTCTGCCAGGTCACCTTTTGCTCCCATACCACACTGTTCCTAGCCACACCTTATGCTTAGTAAGCCAAGAGCTTGGCCACAACATTAAACCAAACCTTGACTTAGAACAAATGGTGCAGCATCAAAACAGGACTGTGGTGTTGTGCTTACCGTGACATGCAAACTATTGCTACCGCAATACAAAGTTTTAAAAGCGTATTAGCTGATTCTCAGTCTCAAAGGGGTTTTTTAAAAAATCAATCTTTATTATCTGACTCACAAGAAGTTGAAAGTGGAATTGAAAATAGTTGTTGCTGTTTTTAAAACAAGATTGGCATTTTAGTTCTGCACTGCAACATTATATGCAGAGATGAGCCCAGTTATTTAATGGATGCTGAAGTCAAAATAATATTTTATAAGATCTTGTATTTATTATATTATATTCCTCAAAGGCTACAAAAACGTATCAACTTCCCATGGCATTCTCCTGCAAGGAAGATAATATGAGGTGCAAGGACGATAGCACGGGATTGCAAGGAAATAATAAAAGCACTAGGCAGATGTGCTTGAAAATATAAAAGAGATAACAGGGTGTAAATCACCAAGAGAATATCTTGTTTGCTTTTAGGCAAGCTCAGTGATGTGAATCATATTAAGAGCTGCAAAATAATAGGTAAAATCTTGATTGCAGTCTGCTTGCTAGTGGCCCGATACCAACTACCAACAAAAGAAAATCATGGCATAGAGCGATGCGTCTATCCACCAGCAAAACTGGCTTCCTCTTGGGCAATGGGACTACCCCCTCCTCTCCTCCCTGCTGCAGCCCCTCAGACCCTTGGATAGGATTTGGAAGGGTTTGGAGGGGCTGCAGGTAGGGAAGAGAGGAAGGAGAATACTTGTGGTGCATGTAGGAACCTCCTTGTCCTATATTGGATTTCACCCGTAGGATTTTAATGTAAGAAATAACTTACTTTAAGAGCCTTTGGGAGAAGTCTAAAACTAAAAAAGGACTCTTTAGATAACTAGTTTGCATACTAAAGAAAAAAATGCAGAAAATGCCTTGAAATAAGCCAACTTAGTAGGTTTATTACTGGCAATTGTTGAGTTGATTTTTAATGTAAGATTCAAGAGTTCTTATTTACATTATGACCTAATACCGTATTTTTCACTCTATAACATGCACCTGACCATAACACGCACATCGTTTTTAGAGGAGGAAAACAAGGGGGAAAAAATTCTGAATGAAACAGTGGATGTATCATTTTTGTGCCTCATGCTGTGGCCACAGACATGTGATCTGATGGTGAGTTTGGGGTAGCCCAATGCAAAGATCCTGAGGATCCATGTGGATCCATGCTTTGTAACCACATTTTTGCACCATTGCAGCCCCAGGCAACAGTGGGTGCGTTATTTTTTTGGTGCAGGCTGTAGCCATGGACATGTAATGTGATCTGATGGTGAATTTGGGGTGACCCAATGCAAAGATCCTGAGGATCCATGTGGATCCGTGCTTTGTAACCACGTTTTAAGTGGGGAGGGAAGGAAAAACACAGAAGGGACAAGGAGCACGAGAGGGGTGTGCAGAGAAGCAGCTGGCTAAGAATGCAGGAGAGGGATTTAACGGGAGGGAGGAAAGGAAGGCAAAAGTTTTCCCCGACACACCCACCCAAGCCAGCCCTCCCTCTCTCTCTCTCTCTCTCTCTCTCTCTCATCTGCATGTTTTCCGGCTGCCTGCAAGTCCCTAAAATGCTTCCCTGGACGCAGCAGCACCGGAGCATGGAGAGGAATTAGAAGGAAGGACGCGATCCTTTCCTTTCCCCTCTGCTTGCCTGGAGGCGAGGGGATTTGCCTGCTCTTTGTTCCATTTGAGCAAACAGCAACCAAAACAGAAGAGGGTGGGCAGTAAGACCCTGAGGCAGAATGCAGGAAAGCAACAGCTTCCTCTCTCACGGAGCTCCCTCCTCCCTGACGCGCCGCAATTGGATTTTTGCCTGATTTTTGCCCCTGCGCTCGGGCCAGTCGGCTCCAGGGACCACACATTCGCTCAATAACACGCACAGACATTTCCCCTTACTTTTTAGGAGAAAAAATATGCGTGTTATAGAGAGAAAAGTACGGTAAGTATTTCTGAATGAATGGTTATGCGCTTCTTAAATAAAATCATCTACAGTGGTACCTCTGGATACAAACGGGATCCATTCTGGATCCCTGTTCGCATCCTGAAGCAAACGTAACCTGTGTCTGCACATCTGCGTGTGCGCGGGTCGCGATTCGCCGCTTCCGCGCATGCATGTGGAATCATCTTGAGCGTCTGCGCAAGCGGTGAAACCCAGAAGTAACACATTCCGTTACTTCCGGGTCACCACGGAGCGCAACCTGAATGCGCTCAACCTGAAGCATATTTAACCAGAGTTATGACTGTAGTTCCTTTAACACGTATGACTTAAGACTACTGTAATGGACACTTAAGACTAAGATACCTTATTATTGATTTTTAATTGCTATTTTTCGTTTAGTGCCTTTTTGACCTTATTAAATCTTTACCAACAAAGAAATGAAATGTTGGCAACCCTTATCAATCAGCAAAGAAAACTGGCAACCCTTATCAATCAGCAACTCATGTTAAACATGCACTATATTCTATTAGTTTTCTGAAGTGGCTTTCATTTCATGTGAAAGATCAAATATAATGTAGAAATGAACAGTTAGGAAAACATTGGGGAAAGGAAACATCTAAGAATAGTGCTAAACATAGGTAATGACAGTCAGAGGAATAGTTCAGCATCCCTCGACGGCTGCCATTTTATGTGACCTCCTGCTTTCAAGCTGACCAGTGCTGACATGCAGTTGAAAATTACAGGTGTTTCACCATTGTATCTAGTTCCTCTAGCCCCTAGAGACCGAGGGACCATGTCCAGACTGGACATGACAATTCAGTACAGAAGTGGGCCCTTGATCAGTGAATCCTGGTCCTAGGAAAAACACTGAAACATCCAACAAATGAAATAAGAAAGGCTGTCCCATTAACTGCTGTTTACTCACCTGAGTAACAAGGCCCTCTAGCCACCACTGTTATCTCTTTCTGATGCTTGCAAGCAGCTCTCCTGAGAAAGCATTCATTTTGGTAAGTGTCTCCATTTGAACCACAAACAGGAATATATTTTGTGTGACACTGCAAGGGAGAGAAAAAAATCAAGGAAAAGAAATTATTCACGCAACCCTGTGTACAGGTATTCAACTGGGGTGGCAACGGTGCAATCGGAGAGTTTGATTTCGTGGCTCATGGTTTCCTTCCAGAGGCCCATTCCATTCAGCTGCAAAAACAAACCACAGCAGCCTAAGGAGCAGCAGCTACAGCAGCGAGACAGAAATGCACAAGCAGAAATTGGTATTTTCATGTTCCCAGGATGAAGAAAGCATAGCACACTTGCTGCAGGCTGCAGCCTGGCTGCCACAGGACTGAATAGAATGGCAACAATGTCCAGAAAGTTTTTTGTTTAATATTAAAGTGCCTATCCACAATGCACTGTTGCAAAAAAATAAAAAAGATAAAATCTAAATATACTGTTCATTGGTGGTTTACAAGTCACAAAAGAGTTCTTCCTTCCTAATGGAATGTGTTCATAAATATGATATCAAGCGGCAGTTTGCTATTGTTGGAATTTTCGTATTTTAGTTTTTTGCTTTGTTTCCACACTTAATTGCTCTTACTCCCCAATTAAAGTGTTATGGTTGTTTAATAATAATACAACAGTAAAAGTGAACAAATAAGACACTCAGGAAAGGAAAGTATTATTATTAAACAACAAAGGACCCTGCCGACCACACATTTCAAAAGAGGGAATTAAAAATGGGCAAAATATTACAGATGCATCGTTTGCATCGTTTCTTAAAGATATAATGAAAACCTGAACACAGAGTATTTTCTTCTCTCCAGATGTTAATGGAATGAAGAATGTTTCTTAGCACTGTGGCCCAAAGCAGGGGTGGACTTTGGTCTTTCAAATTTCAGCAGTATCCTGTGCAAGGCCAAAATTCAGTGTGTGTGTCCCCTCCTCTCGCCTTCTGTTGTGCTCAATTCACTACTGGCCAGTGGATGTATAGAATGCTGTTGAAATACGCACATTCCTTGGGGCCTCTTGAAGGTTTTATATATTTGATCAGGTAATGTGTACAATTCCCTCTTCATGGGCAGGTTATGTGCACATTTTCCATGAGGCCCGGAAAATGTGCATAACAGTCAGTTGTTATGCACATTAACTGTTCTATTCAGCCTCTGAAGAACAGGCTACACCAGGGCTGGATCTAGACACATCAAAGAAGTGTTTCAGTTAAGCCCATTGTAAACTCATAAAGGGAAATCCAGTAGGGAAAGACACAGCGCCATCTGGTCGTCACAGTATTATATCGCATATACAACACATGTAAAACACTTTTTCTTTACCAAACTAGCTGAGTCCCAGATCATACAAATGGGTACATGAGTAAAACGCTCAAGCTGACAGTTTTTCAGAGGATATCATTACTTTTGATCATATTAGATAACAAAGGTGAAAATTCCTTACCAGAAATTGGCATGCACACGTCAAACTATCTCCTTCTTCCTTACAAACACCCCCATATTTACACGATGATTCATCACATACTCTCACATCCGATTCCTTTACATTTAGTTCTGAAAAAGGAAAGAAGATTTAAATAGATTACGTGCTATGCTTTTTTAAAGCAAAGTCAGTTGTGCAAAAAGGCACTTGACAGCCCCCCACCCCTTTTAATAAAAAGCAGCCTTGGGAACTTGTTTTTTTATCAGAGGAATAGATGATGGAAGTGCTTAACTCTCCCCCTGCATGCCATTTTGCTGCTCAAAACCAATCTGCTCCAAGTTGTTCCCATCCCCATATTCTAGAGGCTTAAGCACAATTTTTGAACATGCACCTGAAACCTGTGGGAGGGGAGAGCAACTTGGGGGGAAAGAGTTAATTTGAAATGGAAAAATGGCTGGCAGGGAAGTGCTACGCACCTGATTCCTTGCTCGAAATTGTTTCCCAATATTGCTTTTCATTTAAGCCAAGTAACAAAAAAATACATTTGGGGATTTATTGCACAAATTTCCTGATAATGTGCTCTTTGCCCCCACATAAAGCGAAGACTCCTAGTTCAGTGGTAGAGCATCTCAAGGTAGGGCTGAAACCCTAGAGATATGCAGCTAGATCAGGGGTCTACAAGCTTATAGGATGATGGGCCGGTCCACGCACCATCCATCTTCTGGGTCGGAGGAGTGCCCGTGAGCACATGCTCTTTCCGGTGCTCCTCCGACCCAGACGTGTACCAGAAATAGCGTGCGCACATGTGCACGGGTGCTTCTCCGTCCCGCACGCATGCGTGCACACTATTTCTGGCGCACATCCGGGTCAGAGGAACGCCCGTTCGCATGCGCACAGGCGCCATCAACCCGGAAGTCGGTCCCCATGCCACGCTGGTAAGAGTGGTCGGCAGGGGTTGCCATGGGCCGGATAGACAAGCCCTGTGGGCTGCTACCAGCCCATGGGCCTTAGGTTGCCGACCCCTGAGCTACATGGACCTGCGGTCTGACTTGGAATAAGACACCTTCTTATGAACTTCAGTTCAGTTTGTTCATTGGCTAGCAGAAGCATTGAAGCAAGGTGGGAAAGTAAGCTGGGTGGTAACTTTTAAGAAGCAGGCGCATTTCTTGCTGCAGGAAAGTAGAAAGAGAGAAGGCCAGGAATATGTGCTGCCATTCAGTTCCATGCCTATACAAGCAAGATAATAGGTCTCCCCATTTCAAAGGAATACTTGAAGGATAAAAACATTAAAAATTGACAAGCTGCCAAATACTGTGGCTAATGAGAACCAGAGACGTATCTTACAGAGACAGACAGCGCCTGTTAGGATTTGAAATGTTACGCACAAGTTGCATGTATAAAACATTCAAACACAACGGTTGCCTGTCAGTTGCCAATGCACTTCCCCCTCTGACCCTCAAACCATCTGGAAAACCCTCTTTCTCAAAGAGAAAATATCAATAATGGCGAACACTCTGCTTCAACTGTCAGTTGCTCTGGACTGCAGAAGTCAAGGGGGAAAGAGCACTCGGGTCTCATCTATCAGCCAGCGTAAGAGCAGCCACCCACCACTTAGCCAAGCAAACACGCCTATAGTGTGACAAACACTTATCTGGAAAACCCAGGGGTGGGAAGAGCAGCTAGGAATGAAGCTTTGCAGGTTCCCAGTTTTGATTCTTTCAGCTTCTCGTTTTTCCAATCTTGTTGTATTCTTGTTTTGATGTTAATTTTATTGAATTTGCTTTACACTGCCATGAACTGCCTTGGGACCTTCAATGAAGGGTGGCATAAAAGTATTTAAAATATGTAAGATTCAGTGTTGCTTGAACAATGGGAGCTATACCAGCAGGTAAGTTACATATTTGATAGCCAGATTTTAGCCTGACCAGATGATGGGGAATTAGTATCACTGTCTCAAAGTGTGCTTGAGCTGCTACTAATAAGGTACAGGGAGGGGAGAGGGAGGGAACCTAAATGCCTTGAAGGAAGATGCCATGGAAGAACAAGGCAAAGGGAAAGGCACTGAAGAAGTCCTCATACCTAATGATGTGACTGCTGGTGTTTTAAATGCAGAAAATTAGGCTACCATGAACTGCCTTTCCGCAGGAAAGGCCTCCATTTACAAGGAAGAAGAAAAAGGATAAATTTAACAAGCTAATCCCTCAAAGACTACTCCAGGGTCCTTTTGAAATGTATGTAAAGCAGAACCCGGCAAAATCTTCCTCAGAGATTAATAAAGTGCAGCCCCTGAGTGGTTTAAGACATGCCGCTACAGCTCCCGAGTGAAGCAGGTTCGTATCTAATTCGCTCTCACAAAGAAGAGCAGCCTTACTCCACACCTAACAGAAAAAGGGGACCTGACCTCCCTCTGAACATGGCTTGGAAGTCACATTTTGGCACACAGAAATGAGTTGCACCGTCTTTGTTGGGGGCTGCTCTTAGCTCAGCTCTCTAAAACAACGCTAGACATTGTAGTCTTGTGAGAGTGGTGAAAACCTGTTTCTTTTGCTCCAGAGGTGGGATAGTATAGCCCACGCCAACAGCTCAGTTGAAACAAAACTACCATTTGCTACCACCTCATCCTTGCCTCTGTTGTAAGCCATTCCAACAGCCGGCAGCAGAGGGAGATCTTCCACAGCCGTTGTCTCCATCCTCACACCAACTCCAAGCTCAGAAGACAACCTGGATGAGGTGTCTCCATCCCCACTACCAGGGCCTTCCAGACCAAACATGGCTTTATTGGACTCACTGGATTCAGAGAACTCTTCCAATGCAATCCTTGTCACCCCCTTGCTGAAAGAGCCAACGACTATGCAATATGGCAACAAACCTATAAGATCCCAAGTAGCTTCTCAGTTGAAACACAGCTAATAGCACAGGCTGGCCTTTATGAAGTCTCAGAAGGCATTTGCACCCTGCTGAAACAACAGCCTCCCTTGCTACTGGGTGAGGACCCTTAAACCAGTGATAATTCCAAAATCCTGAGCAGCAGTATGCTCCACCTGCTGAGTCCAGAGTCCAGAGTCCAGAGTCCTGCTGAGTCCAGAGCTTGCTGATGAGGACTTTGCTTTGTCCAAACTTATCTTTATGTTGCCTATCAGAATCTGACCTCAACCTCTGTAGGAACAGCCCTACTCTTGGTGCCAAACATGGTAACATGCCAGAGGAGGGCACTACCCCAATTTCTTGTTGTACTTCAGAAGCAACATGGCAGGTGGCTACTGAAACAGAACAGAGACACAGGGCATCCAGTCCAATGAAAGTGCTGATTCTGCCCAGCTCCTCAGTCTGAACAATGAGTTGCTCAAACAGAGACTGAACTGCTTTCGTATCACCTTGCCTTAGCTCCTGACTGCCATCCCAGTGCTCAGTAAAAACCAGTGTTGTCACCCCGGGTACACAACCTGGAGAGAAAATGTTACTTTGTGTTCACAAACAGATTGTTAGTTCACATTTTTACCCTAAAAACTGATAAACAGGGAAGGACATCTGATTAGCAAGGTGTCAAGAGGGTTAGCTTGACATCTTTATTCCAAAAACTCAGCAAACAGCCAGTCTGTCAATTCCATTTTGCAATGAGAAAGTTTGACAGTTCCTCAGCAAAGATTTGCAAAAAGCATGTTCTGGGAAATTTTCCAATGAGTGGAAAACTAGGCCAACCGCACACACAAAAGTAAATAAAATATGAGGCAAAAATATATCCAAGCAAAAACAGAAAGAGGAAAGCACTGCTACTATTTGGAAGTCAAGACCAGGTTTTACACCACAATCACAAAACAATGCTCTCACATTTCCCTAGTGACAAAATAATATATAGTTACGTATATGTAATGCAGTTAAGGAATGGAGAATCCCAGGTCCTCTAATTCAAGGCTATGAAGACTATTATGGCTTCCCCAAAGTCTGGTAATTCAAAAGTCTGGTTCATGTACACACCCCGAAAACAACTCTTTTAAAAATGTTTTTTAATTAATATTATGTTTTAACAATATGTAGCAAAACCACTGTACATCAAACATGCTTGCTTCTCATGTAAAAAGAAGAAAACAAGTCAAACAAGAAAGAAAAGGAAATGACATATAAAGGAGAGGGAGTGGGGTGCAAGAGTCTTGTGGGGGTGCTTTGTGTGTCCACTTGCCCCTTTCTAAAATTTATTTATTGGTGTGTGTTTTCCTTTTGGAAATTATCAAATAATAAAATAAAACCAGGATTCAGAGGTGGGTTTTTTTCGTAGAGGGTATGTGTGCTGTGCCCCGTTGGTGTAGTGGTGGTGGAAATGCTGGGGGGGGGAGCAAAAATGGGAGACGGGTCGAGGAGGGTCTGTGGGGGGGGGGTGAGAAATGTCCAAATTTATACCTGAAGAATGTTGGAGGGTATGCTGACGTCTCCCTTAGCCATGGTTAAGGTAAGACAGAGGGATATACTACTCCTGGAGAGAGAAAATGCATCAACAAGGTAGCCTGCTCCCCTTTCCTTAACTGCAATTACAAGAGCCCTAGTATTATGTCTGCCCCTCAAGTACAGAGAGAACATCAAGGCTTCAACTCAATGCTCACTATGCTTATACAGTGGTACCTCAGGTTACATATGCTTCAGGTTACAGACTCTGCTAACCCAGAAATATTACCTCGGGTTAAGCACTTTGCTTCAGGATGAGAACAGAAATCGTGCTCCAGTGGCACGGCAGCAGCAGGAGGCCCCATTAGCTAAAGTGGTGCTTCAGGTTAAGAACAGTTTCAGGTTAAGAACGGACCTCCAGAACGAATTAAGTTCTTATCCCGAGGTACCACTGTAATGGAGCTTTCAGGTTTTGTGTCAGATTAGTCTGATTAGGTCTAGAGACAGAGGAAGCTGAGCCAGTCTCTCAGTAGGATAATACTTGTTCAGTTAACATATTTATATTGACCTGTTGGAACAAGCAGACTCTCTCTGAGTCTGCAGCTCTTATGGTCACAGACAAAACTCAAGGCGCTTCTCACCGACTGATGTGATTCCTTCCCCAGACTAGCCGATTAAATAGTCTGTAATATTGTTTGCATTTCTAATTAAAAACTAAAGGTTGCATTACAACTGACTAAAGAAGACACATCATTGAAACTTAAATGTGCTTTACTGGCGAGACCTACACATTGAGAAGGAAGCACTGCGGACTTCAACGGAGCTTATCCTAAGGTGCATAGGATTGTAGCTACGTCACGAAAAGAGGTTTAAGGTACTAACCAGCTTTAGTTTTATTCAGAATAGACCCATTTTAATTAATGGACACGCCTAACTATTGAACATTTCCCAAAATGATAACGCCCATTCATATTATAAAGAGCTTATAACCCACCTACTCTCAGCAGCCAGAAGCATCGGGGGAACCTGTCAGGAGTGAACTGGTACCAAACCGTATGGGAAACAGCCTTACTGGAAAATCTAACCAACAGACTGAAACAGACACTGGGACAAATAAAAGAGAATGCCTTCACCGTATTATTGCTCTCCTTTATTACATACGTAGCCCAACAGGCCAACAACAAGAATTCACCGAAAGCATACGAATCAATATGGCTAACTTGACCCAACCATCTCTTTCTTCCCTCCATCCCAAACACACGTAAACAACTATCACTGCAGTCAAATAATGACAACCAACCATACCCTGGCTCGCTCCACTCAACTTCTCTCACAGCCAAGAAAAAATAATAAATGAATAGAAAAAGAACCTACCCAAATGACACTGACACAAAACCCCCACACATACACTAAGTCAAAGAATATAAGTTTTACCAACTCACCCCCTCTCTTTCCCCCCAACCCTATACTGCATCAAACACTAAAGGCTCACATCGAATGTAACTGATTTGTAGAAAAGACTCTACGACCTGAAAAAAGAGACAAAGCACGTACCTTGGCAACCAAAGAAAATCTTTAATAAAAATTTAATAAAAAGAATAGACATGTCTAACTTAGGTCCATTAATTTCATTGGGTCTACATGGAGTAGAACTTCGCTGGATAAATGCACAATCATTAAAGTACTACTAGACTCTTTCTTGAAAAATTAGCCATTCTTCCTTCAATTCTCTAGTAAAATACATTGGACAGAAAATTAAAATTGGTATCTTATTAGCCAAAAATTGTATTTTCCCACATTTTATTATTATTAATCTAGATTTTCAAGATAGCCCGCAAAAGAGAACCATAAAATATAAAATAGATAAAAAACATCAGAAACAAAAGCAATTATTGTAGCTAACAGTAAAAATACAAAAAGCAGAAAATTTTGATGAAAATGTTTGTTTTCTTTTCTGATTTATGTAAATTTGTTTTAATATTTGAGCTTGTATGAAACATATGTTTATAGAAAAGGAATGGATATTTCTAAAAAAGAAAAAAAAAACCTGTCAAAATCTGTAGAATTGAAGGTTGAATTTTTTTTAAAAAAGGGATTTCATAGGTTCCTCAATTTGATTAGACTCTATGAATACAATCCAGCACATGCCTATCCAGAAATAAGCCCCACTAAATTAGAGAGCTTACTCCCACTTGTGGATATAAGATTAGAACCCGCGTCAAACTTTAACAGACAATATCTGTGTCGATATATGCATATGATACTGTTGCCCTACCATAGTGGGACTCCATTTCTAATATCTAGCTGTGAAGTCAACACTTGGCTTCCAAACTTTGGGGGGGGGGGGCAGACTCGCAAGGAAGCCCAATGTACACCCCTTTAAACCTACTTAATGTGTAAAAGTTGTTGAATACAACATCCACTGCCTTCTTCATTGCTTCTGAGTAAAAATATCTCAATACATGGAAAATATGTCTTCCCAGAAATGCACTGTGTGATCACTTATTTCTGTGCAACCAAAATGTGTTGTTTCCGGCACGCTTTTTAAAATGGTGTGCCTTTTCATTTATGCTCGTATCTAAATGCTTCATTTGCCAACTTAGACTGTGGAAGGCAATTTAATTCCCTTCACAACTGCGGAGAGGGAATAATTTGGCTTGATTTTGGCTTGATGTTTCTCTGAAAATACAAGGCATAAATGTCAGACTTTGCACTCTTCAATTCATATTCTTAAATACATGCACGCAGCTCCCAGTAAAGCCAAGACGACTTTTATCTTGGGAAAGTATTTTGGCTAAGAGCCAGTAATATCTTCTTTGCTAAAGTAAATCTTGGAACATAATACTGTATCATTTTCGTCCTCTTAATCAGAGAAAATGGCATTCATATTTTCTTATTAATCCTAATAATCTTCTTTTAAAGAATGAATTAGCCACCTTAGCAATGGTCTGGTAGGATAAAAACTGAAAGCTAAATCTGGAAGAAGTTAAGCATTCTTAAAAGACCAAACTCCATATTATGCTATATGTATAATGGACAGCTACATCTTTGTTTTTTCTTTAATTACAGGCATGGGGAGGGAAGAGTCATGGAGAGTACAGTCTGTAGGGAGAGGAAGCTCCTTCCTCTCCTCTCCAGCTACAATTGGAATGAAAATACCCCACTCCCGCACAGCTGTGATGCTTAGGAGGAAAGTTCTTGATAGTGCCAAAGGGAACCTTTTTCTAAGCATCAAGGCTGTGCCTTGCAGGGTGGGTGTGGGTGGGAGGGGCAAACCTCGCCTCCCTGCATGCTGTGGTCCCAACTACTCCCCCAACCACATCTGAATTTAGTGAAAAGAAAAAAGATGCTGTTGAGTGCTGTGCATTCACTGTAATGTGTAGTTTGACCCTAAGCCCCACTAAAGCAGCAGCACTTAAGGTTCCTTTGATTTTAATGGGATTGAAGAAGCATGCTTAACTTGCTAATGAGCAAGTCTTAAGCCTGTTGGAATTTCCAGACTCTGTACAGAAATTATAGCATGCCATGCTGAAGTACAGGATCCAGGGTCATTCCTAGCCCATTGGTAGCAAAGGCGTGTGAAGTACAGTGGTACCTTGGTTTGCAACTGTTTTGGATTACAACTGTTTTGGATTACAACCATGTCACACCCGGAAGTGCGTGTCCCTTTTTTGGGATGACAACCCATTTTTTTATTATTAAAACCATTATTTATTTATTTTGGAGGCCCCACTGGCGAAAGCGCGCCTTGAGTTACAACCTGTTTTGGTTTACAACCGGACCTCCGGAACAGATTAGGGTTGTAAACCAAGGTACCACTGTATCTGATAACTGGTTACTGGGCTATGCCCACCGTGTGGGAGGTAGTGGAAGCAGTAAACTAGTACCCAGGGCAGCAGACCTTCACCTTCAGTTCATCATTGACTTTACTAGCTAAAGCCCTGTTAAGGGTGATGGGTGGGAAGATGATTTCTAGATCCCTCCCCCAGCTCCGTTTACCACCATAGTGGATAAGTTGAAATGACTGCCCGTACCATGACAATGTTCATGAGGCTGTGGCAAATCACCCCTTGTTCTACCTGATGAAGAAATTTCCATGCAGGTTGACGTTTCAAGTTGCTAGATCTCAAGCCCTTCTAATGCACTGCTCTATTACCTCCCCACAGACCAAAAATAAAAATTAAAAAAAATCCTCCTTGTACTATGGGTCAACAGCACCAGAGGAAAAAGAAGGATTTTCTTGTTAAAAGTCTCTGGCCATGCCATTTTAACTTCCTCCTTATAAGACTATGGAACCTTCAATGACCAAATATTATCCACATATCCACAATCTTCTTCCCAATTTTACTATGGTCCAAAATCCAGGAAATCACCAAGGAGTTTTCCTTCCCTCAACCTCTTTCTTTCTTCTTCTAGAACACCATCGACAGGTTAGATTTTTCTTTGAAAAGGAAACATGATTACATTATGTAAGACGTAAATAATAAAAAAGAATTTGCAAAATATGCATATTTTCTATGCTGAAAGTCATTCTTTCCCAACGTGGTGCCTTCCATATGTTTGGGACTACTACTCCTAAGAGCACCTGCTGGCTGGCGCTCATGGGAGTTTAAGTCCACAACATTTGGAGGGCACAGTTGCTGCAAGTTCTGCTTCTTTTGGTCATAGTTTGCCACCCTAACAGAGCGAAACAAAAGGCCTGCAACTGGCTTTCCAATGTAGATTATTATATATTTCACAGAATCATAGTATTGTAGAGTTGGAAGGGGCCCTGAGGGTCATCGAGTCCAACCCCCTGCAATGCAGGAATCTCAACTAATGCTTCTGTGGCAGGTGACCATCTGATGTCTGCTTCAAAACCTTCAAGAAAGCAGAGTCCACCATCTTTTGAGGAAGTTCATTGCCCTTTCTTAGGACCTTTGGATGAGATTTCAGTTTTCTTGGGCTACCTCTGACAAAACATTCTGGGCTACCTCTGTCATGTCTAGCAAAGCTCTCCAACTGGATAAGGTGTGTCTCCTGAGCTCTCCACAAGATCAGTATCATAACATCAGATGGATAAAAGGGTTTTAAGAAAGGCACATTCTCCAATATCACCTTTATCCAGCCAACTTTAAGCAAAATTCTGGCCTCTCAGCTTCAAGTCTCTTTCACAGGTCTTAATATGCCTGTAAAAAGCAACATCAGTACTACTGAAAGATGCTTTGAATACTAACAAAAATGACACCTCTGGGCTCCTGTTATGTCCTAATGTACTTGGATTAGCAAATGTTCCAGTACCTTAATTCAGTTCAGAGTTTTATTGCTCAGAGCTTGGTATTTCCTGCAGAAATAGACCCACATACACAAACACTTCTGCACTGAAATACTTCTCGCAAAGCTGGCCATTTCTTTCTCTTCTGAAAAAACAAGCAAAGCATCAAATGGAAGTTAAACTATATATGAAAATTCTTAGGTTTCTTTTAAAAATAAAATAGAAGTTTCTACAGTATTTATCACTCCATTTTGCAAATTTCTTGGCAGTCTCTCTAACTGGAGCATGCAAAATTGGGGTGTGTGTGTACTTAATAATCAACAACTCTGCCTACCCGCCAGAGGCTTCAACAACTGTCCCGACTCTACTCAAGTCTCCCTCCCAGCCATCGGAACTTCATCCTAAGAGACTGATGCCCTCTGGATGGCTGTCTCCAGGCACTTTTGCGCTATAATGTGTCTCATCTGTCTGCAGTGCCGTAACCAGTCACTTCAATGCCAGAGGCAGCCTCTCAATTCCACACACATAGGAGCTGGCACGAGTTAAGAATGGCTTATGAACTGTTGATGAAGCTTGCAAGTTTTCATTGCTGAGGCTTCTCCTCTGAAGCCGCTGTGCAGAAAGACAGCTGGCTGTAACCTAATGTTATAACTCCAGTTTTCTCCTCCTACAACAGCAGTATCTGTGTACTTTAGGCTGTGATCCTATACCAATGTACCTGGGAGTAAACGCCACTGACCTCAACAGGAATTGCATCTGAGTAGACACATATCCATGTATCTATTGGCACAGGACTATCCCTTGGCCTAATCTGCTGTCCCTACTAAACCTCAAAGCAGCAATGCAACTTGGAATAGCTTTATTGAACCTATAAATAGAGGTGGCACTGGTCAGAATCCTCTACAATCCATATTTTCCCCAATAAGTAATAATCAGTCATACATTTGGTTTCTGGGTACAAGCCTCAATAAGTGGCTTCCCTAATGCAATATGCCTTGCATGTAGTAATGTTTTGTATGTTCGGTGTACAAGATGATCCTGGTTTGAATAGTGTTTGGTGTTTATGGATAGAAGCTCCACTCATGTAATGGAGCACAGGGAAGGATCTACAGGGGAGAGGAGAGGAGAGGAGAGAAGAGGAGAGGGGAAGTCCATTTCACTTGTACAAGGGCAGCTTTAGATACAAGCCTACATTTGTCCTGCTATTGTTACAAATATTATCTTTTAAAAAACAACTTTTCATCTACTATTCTGTATCAAAAGCAAACGTTACACAAGTTGGCTTCATTCTGACAGCTATTACTTGATGCTCACCTTTTGCACCCTTACCTAGGTTGTGTCCAGGATAGGTGCTAACTATAGCCCCACTCTAGTCACTCAAATGCCAATCGGACGCAAAAATCCTGGAGCATTTATTCATAGTGCGGATAGGAGTACCTGCTGGCCTTTATGATTTCCAGTGATCTAGAAGACATGCAAATGAGACTGGCAAAATCTCTGGAAGCAGTAAAATAAAATCAGGGGAGGGAAGAATATGAGAGGTCTCAACAAATCAGTAGAAAGTCCCTTATTCAAAGCGGCCATCACCACACATCTTTAAGTGGTGAATTCTACGAGTGCATTGCGTGATGAAGTACTTCCTGTTGCCTGTACTGAACCGATTCCCAATCAGCCTCATCGAATGGCTTCCCCATTCTTGTGTTATCAGAGAGGGAGAAATTCTTCCTGCTGCTAATGGAGTATGATCTGCAAGAGAGAGGAACTGTCAGTCCTCTGAACGTCCCCTAATTAAAGCAATGGGTGCCCAAGACAGAAACTAGAACTTAAGAAACTCAAAGTGGCTTTCAAGAGGCATCTTTTCATATTCAGCTCCTTCCCTCACGCCGATACCAGCTCTCTGCCTTTTCTTATTATCAGAGTCTCACTTTATTCCTGCTCATCGGTCTTGCTCTCTCTTCTGGTCTGATGCGTTGCCATTATTACTTGTTCAGCTGTCTCCCACGTGTAACGCTTCAAGAGCATTAGCTAAGTAGCATATTCTCATTGACTGGCAAAGACATTTACCTCCTGAAGAGGTAAAAAAAAAAAGCTACATGGAAATTGATGAAGGACAGAAATGGCACTGGAAAAGCTTGAAAGCCATAACGGGGGGAAGGAGAGATAAACCTGCAAATGGGCACAGTGGCATTTATAAAGATGCTCTTACAGCTTAAAGTGCATTTTTTTTTGCATCAAGGGAGCCATGAGCCTCTCTTTCTGTGAATGGTGAATTGTGGAGGTATACGGGTTCCCATTATGCAGACGTTTCACATATCAGCTGGAAGAAGAGTAGTGACTAGATTAGCAGACTGAACTATGAATCAGAAAGGCCCCGTCTGCATCTTTCTTCTGGCATTAATTCATTAGATGGCTTTAGAACAAATCTGTTTTCCTCAGCTTCCCACACCACCACTACTATTGGGGGTTTGGGATAATGGTATTGCCCAACCATGCAGGACTGGCATGGATTCCTTGCAAGAATTACAAGATAATGTGTGCTAAGCACTTTGGCTGCAATCCTATATCCACAAAGCCGAGAGGAAGCCCCACTGAACTCATAGAATAGATATACATCAGACAGCACTTTTTGAGCGTGCTGAAGCACCAGGTGAACACAAATTATTGGATTTTTTTAGGACCAAAGCAAAATAAAATGGCAAGCAAAAATTATAGAATTGAGGTATAACAAGAGAGCCAAATGACAGAAGCAGTATTTCTTTGCTAATCAAAAAAGTTTTCAGCTTTTGCTTTATAAACCTACTGTTTCTGTTTTCTTAAAGGAAGCCAACAGAGCAATCCAAACCTTTGATCCTGCATGTTGGAGGAAGTTTGGAGGCGATAGATATGTCATTCCAAGCCTCTCTATTTGTCCCTCAGGTGTCTCCCACTGTCCCCAGACCACATCCTTCACCAGTCCTGTGCTGTGTTGCTCTTAAGTGTGTTTACCTTACTGGATTGCTTAACTGTGATAATGCATCTTGCTCGCCTGAGTCCATAGAAAGAAAGTTGGATAGAAACCTCCAATTTATGTGTGGCTGGAATGTAACCTACCAAACAATGGGAAGACCCACATCTCTTGCTCCTTCCATGTTTGCCTAGGGCCCTAGTCATCACCTGCATGAAGTCTCCAGAAGGTTCCCCATAAAGGAATACTAACTCTGGACTCAGAAAGGCTCCCCACTCCTGGCTCAAATCTTTTCCTAATCCATGTAAACTTCGGTGGAAATTCTAAAGGCACATCACTCTTTCTCCACAGATATTTCCCCCCTAAAGAGAAGAACCATTTGCATGTCACACTGAATATGGAGTAATTGAGGTTCTATTAGGCACCCTAGGGCTGGCAAGTATCAGGCCACAGGTGGGCAGATGACCAGCCACACCAAGATGGAAGGCAGGCTGGGACTCCTATGGCAGACAAGCAGTCAAGTAGTCTTGCAGGAGATGAGGATAGCCTGGTGGCTTCCCTCAACACGCTGCCCAGACGGAGCAGCAATTACCAATCTGGGGGCTTTATTCCATGCAGGAAGGACTCACTGGTGTCCCCTGATTTTCAGGCCCAAGAGGATTCTCTAGCTGTGAAGATAGGATCTCAGCTCAACTACCTCCAGTTCCATCCACAAACAGCAGTCTCACAAGTCTCTAGTGCCTCCAGACCCCATTCTATGCCATACATGTGACTAGGCCTTAGACCAACAAATTAACAGATTTCTACGAAGACGAAGAATAAAGTTTGTGTAACAACTTAAAAGCGGTCAGTCTGGAAGCTCCTTTGACAACTCTGCTGCTTAATAATACAGACATGTCTATGAGGAAAATGGATACAAAAATCCAATTTTAAATTCTGTCTGCTACATATCCCAGTGACGGAGCTGTTCTTTTTGCTGAAAAAGGTAACAAACTTTCCATCTTATGTAACTAACCCTGTTTCCCCCCGCCGATTCAAGTCAAGATGAACAGAGAATAAAAGAGAACAAAACCTTTTGAACAATAGTGTTCAATCTCTAAAAAGAATATTAAAATGGTAATTCAAAACACAATGTGCTTCTTCTACATTGTATTCCAATTACCCGAAAGTACTAAATTATAACTTCTGTATACATGGGAGGCATATGTAATTAAGTTATTCTCCTGACAGGTTTATTCATCTATAATATCTAAATAAAGGCCAGTTTGTCACTGCTTTATATCATATGGATACAAATGGTGTTATTTAGAACAAGACTAATTTATCTGGATAGCTCCCTCAATATTTTAATGTAGAATTTATGTATTCTATATAGCAGTAACTCTATGTAGCACTGATGGAAAACCTCAGAAAGTAAATCTTTTCACAAGCCTTTCTTCTGCCTCACTTCATGACATGGTAAGTACCGTATTTTTCGCCCTATAGGACGCACCGTCCCATAAGGCGCACCTAGTTTTTTGGGAGGGAAATAAAGGGGAAAAAATTATTTCCCCCCCAGGCGCGGGGCTGGGGCAGGGGAAGCCCGAGCTTCCCCCGACCCCAGCCCCCAAACAGGCAGCTCTCTGCAAGCCGTGGGAGCCCAGCGCTGGCTCCCGCTGCTTGCGGAGAGGTCCGCGAAGCCTGGACGCGCTGAGCTCAGCGTGCGCAGGCTTCAGCATGCAGGCACCTCTCCGCAAGCAGCGGGAGCGCTCCCGCTGCTTGCGGAGAGGTGTGCGAAGCCTGCACTCGCCCCATAGGACGCACACACATTTCCCCTTCATTTTTGGAGGGGAAAAAGTGCGTCCTATAGGGCGAAAAATACGGTATCTCCCTGAGAAACCCCCCTGTGTCTCTTGGGCTTTTATGCGTTTACTGACATGGCTTGGTTGCTTTAAAAAAAGCTGACCTGCTTGCAAGTTCCTACTGCTCCTCTGCAATAAACACACAGTGACCAGCCCAAAGAACAGGTTCCAAATATAGTATTGAGAAACAATACAGACTTTTCTTGCATCACAAAGGCTCTGAATAGTGGTAATAAAACACAAGCAATCCATGTCTAAATGGATAAATGGCACAAGTATCTCTCGGCATCAAACCAGACTGCTTGTTCACAAATACACAGAATCCTAGAATTGTACATTTAGAAGGGACGACAAGGGTAATCTAGTCCAACCCCCTGAAATGCAGGAATCTTTTGTCCAACATAGGGCTCAAACCCTGAGATTAAGAGTCTCATGCTCTACCGACTGAGCTATGTTTTGTTCTCCTTTAAACCAGAGGGCCTGTTGATGTTTTGAGTGTGCTTGAGATTTTTAAAAACAAAATGCTTTACTTTTGCTTGATTAAATGTAGGGATTTAGGCACCAACGCTATACTCCATTAGAAATTAAATTCAGTTCACATTTAAAGGTGACTCTGTCAGATCTGCACTTTCCAAAATAATATGCAAACTGAAGACAGAGCTATCCATTTAAATCCACACCTAACCAAATTTTGTTAAGCAGTTCCTCCAGTATTTACAAAAATGCATATATTAGGGGAAATAACTTTCAGGCATTGAGTAAAGTTATTCCACCTGACATCCTTAAGATGAAAAATATTAACATCATTCTTGATTTCTCCCTCAGATTACATGCAAGTCATCACATTAGCTGGCATGAGATTTTGTAGGTTCTGAAGACAGCCTAGGGCACCCAAAAATGTTACGATTTGAGCAAACTGTTTCATTTATACACCTGAGCCCAACCTAAATTTCTGAAAAATGATTATGCTAACCAGAGTTAAGTCTGATTCACACATGCACACTTGTCACCTGATGATCCTACTATCAAGTGGTGACTTGCATGTGGGAATAAGCCCAGGACCGAACCACCTCACATCACTTCTTTTTCAATTAAGTTTTTTCTGCAGTGACTATGAGTCTTCAAATGACAAAACATACAGGTGTGTATAAACTTCTTAGTTGGGTTCAAATGGAGTCTCTTAGTTGAGCCTCTCCTCAGCCCCCTCCCCCTGCCAAACCACAAACACAACCCTTTCCGCCATAACTGCTGCCTTTTACTCTTTGCAGCAGTGCTGACAGGAATCCCGATCAAAGAGGTACACAGTGTTACATGTCACAACATCTCAGGCACTTAATAAGGCACACAAAATCTTTTCTGTTTGCGCATAAAATAATCTGTAAAATCGCTTATCATGGTTAAAAAGAGGAAAGCCAGCTTCAAGAATCTCCTTAGAAACATCATCATCATCATCTCGCCCATTTTCCAACTAAATTATGCCAAGAACAGAAGGCCTCTCTATCTGGCCCCCAGGACTATTCCCAGGCCCCCCAGGTGGGGGGAGGCCAAGCCAAGCCAAGCACCATGGGCTCATTCACCTGGTCATCTTTCAATGCCTTAACAATGCCCTTCCGCTGTCTGCATAGGACAAAAAAAGTCTGCACAAAAGGAGTGGACACGAATCTGACCCAAAAACCCGGCAAAAATGAAAATCCCCCAAGAGAACATTTCAGTCTCCTAGGATACTCAGCTGCTGATCTCAGGGTAACAATACTTCTTTCACCATGAGATCGTAAAACTACCATTCTTCAGAAATATTTTTTCAATGCATTTAGTTCTTAATCAGGGGCATGGGTTCATCATAATTTTTTATTCTGTGCTGGGTTTTAAATGAGCATAGCATGGTTGGTAGAAATATTTATCACCACCATTACTCTTAATTAGATTTATATAGCTGCCCCTTAATAAACATGTCCTTGGTGGCTTACAAGAAAATATTAAAAACACAGCATACAATAATTTTCTTTTTTTAGGCCAGCAAAAGAAAAGAAAAAAAAACTTCCTTGCATACAGGGAACATTCAATAATTTACAAACCAGAATTAAAACACAATTTAGAAGCATAGGTGAATTTTTAAAAGTCCAACTGTTGCTGAAAGGATCATGGAGAAGGTCCATGGAGAGATGGACCATGAAGGTCCATCCATCTGGAGAGGATGTTCCATGGCTGAGGTGCCAGTACTGAGAAGCCCTCTCTTTGGCAGCCACCGGCCTCACTTCATGTGGAGAGCAGGACCTCCAAGAAGGATCTTAGAATTCAGGAAGGCATACTGTATTACAATTGTTGCTCTTTTGAATGGGTCGCCATTCTTATATCGTATACTTCGGACCTTTGCATGAAAACATCAGAGATAATATGGACTTTTAGCATTTCCTAGCCATCTACCCTCACTGTTTTTATTTTCCTCTTTGTGCCCCTGTGCAGATCTCCCAAGCTGAGAATAACACTTCTGATGGTTGTAGTCTTATGAAAGCTTATGCCACAATAAATTTGTTGGTCTTTAAGGTGCAATAGTATGCTTTGTTTTTCTGCTGCAACAGATGAAATACAGCTACCCAACTTGGAATCAGCTTAGCACTGAATTTACTGCTGGAGTACATATTCCTGTTTGAAGACACTAACTGTGAATACACCCTAGGTTTCCTGACAAGCATGCTAGAGGCGTAACATGCTTTTATTTTATTTTATTTTATTTTTATTGCTTTGTATAGTTTTACAATCCGGTTTATTCTTCTGTTAACTCATTCTGTTTAAGGAGTTTCTCATGTAACCAGAGCTCTGAATCTGTAAAAGTATTTCAGTAGCCAAATGGTAAGCCTGTTCGCACAACAGACTGATACAAGTAAGACCAAGAGAACCTTATTCTACAGGAGGGATCTAAAACTGATAAACGAAAAACACTTCTTCTTTTTTTCTTTCTTTTTTTACATTTCTGCCAATAAAAAATGACAGGATCTGAATTTACTTAATGCTCAGTTTGGACAAGCTCATACAAAACTGATATATAAAGTATTATTTGGTCTGATAAAGCTTGTGAGGCTACAGCAAATTTACTAGGAATTTCAGAAGCAGGTCCCACTAAAAACATATTAAGCACTGGGTTCATAAAGGATGGCATCATGTTACAGATATATCATCTAGTTTTTATTTCCAAAACACTTTAACATGACAACACGAAATGGAACATGTAGAGAAAGAGGTCTGGATATGCAGACAGGAGCTGGCTTATTTCCAAGTGCCTCTAACTCAGTTCTGTGGGTCAAAGTAAATAGGTTACAATCAGGAACATACCAGGGTAAAAAGAAGGTAAAACATTATCTTCTCCCCAAACACTGGCATCTCCAGCAATAAGAATTTCTCCCATTTTAGAGAATGCTTCCATTCACTCCTATGGGATGGGAGAAAATGAGGCACCACTGCACGAGGTGGTGGTGTTATAATACAGTGGTGCCTCGCAAGACGAAAAGAATCCGTTCTGGGAGTCTCTTCGTCTAGCGGTTTTTTCGTCTTGCGAAGCAAGCCCATTGATGGGATTAGCGGATTAGCGCTATTAGCGGCTTTTAGCGGCTTTTAGCGGCTTTTAGCAGCTTTTAGCAGCTTATCAGCTTATCTGATAAGCAGATAAGCGGCTTAGCGACTTAGAAAAAGAGGGGGAAAAGGAAAAAAAAAACCCAGGAACTCGCAAGACATTTTCGTCTTGCAAAGCAAGCCCATAGCAGATTCGTTTTGCGAGGCACCTCCAAAACGGAAAACTCTTTCGTCTAGCGAGTTTTCCGTCTTGCGAGGCATTCGTCTTGCGGGGCACCACTGTAGTGCAAAAACCCACCTAGTATTCCTGAAAAATGGTAGCCAAGTTTCCACTGAAAAGTCTCCAATATGGTGCTGGTAGAAGCAGCCTCTTCCAAGGTAGCCTGCAATTTCTACACTGTCAAATTCTACCATAATTTTGATCCTGTTTTGCTAGTCTGTTTGGTTGTTTCAGTCTAGACTGCATATCAGAATTATGAACACGCTTCAGAATAACAGCCAATTAATAATTCCCACACATAATCCAACCGATACTAATGCATGACGAGGTTTTCAAGCTGAAGGGAAGACTCCTTGCAAATGAAGCTGCTTGATTGTTGATTAAGATGTTTCCCTAAACCCTGCACTTAATAACAACTTGTGATCACTTGCTTGGATAACATGTGATAACATGCTTGCTTGGCAAACTCTAGTCCAGAATAAAAAGCATTGAGCTTGTTTTGTACTCTGCAGGATATGACACAGCCCAGAAGAAAGCTTTCCAGACCTGGCCTATTGTGGATTTCCTTTCAGTCCTAGACTACAGCTATAAATTTTGCTCAGACATATTTACTCTCCAAAACCACTCAGTAGTTTGATGGCTTCACAATGTGTCCTCAGTTGCTCTGACTTTTTTGTTGGCATCCATCTGTCTTAAGAGACAACTGAGTGCACCTCCTGGGGTGAAGTCAAATCGCTGAAGAATCACAGCAACTGCTGTGGCTGCAGAGACCAGTAACTTGTAACTGCTGTCTCCCGCATTGTTTTTGCTGTGTTAGCAGCACCAAAGTGATCTCTCTGGGGCACAAGCCTGGGCAGGGTGTATGGAGGTCCTGGGCTGCCCAGATGGCAACCCACAAACCCCTGCCTCGCTGATACAATCCAAAGGAGAGCAATGCGTTTGGCACCAGCTTGCTGTCAGGAGTTGCTGAAAGGTGGCATACAAGATGCCATCCAACTGCCTTAGGGACTCCACTTCAGATCTATGTAGGGTTTACTCCTTAGCATTTTCTTCTTCCAAAGATGTCCTGCAAGTCAGCAGGTACAGATTTTTCCACGGGGTTTACTCCCAAAGCCTTTTTCACAAATCAGTATAGCTGCAAGGTAGCAGAGGCTTAGGATCCAAGTTTTCCTTCTCTTAGATGGGCTACCTTCCCAGGTTGAGGAGCCCCATCTGCCCCCACTTCCCTCTACAGCTCGTACAGAAACTGCCTTTCTTGATCGTTGGACCCACTATTGGTCTCAATCTGCCAGAGCCTGTCTTTGCATGCAGGAGAAGTCCCTAACATTCCAAGTATTTGAGAGCCATCAGCTACCCTCACCTGGTTTAGCCATCCGTTCCCGAGGTGTGGCTTCTGTTACATGCTGACAGCTTCTAGGAGCCACAGGTGGGAGCTGAGTACAGGATGGAGACCAAAGGTGGACAAACTACCCCAGAAGAAGCACAACATGTCCCCCACCAGAGGTACTACCCCTCTCCTAACACCCCATACACATAGTTGCTCTGACTACTGAGACACAAACTAATTTTAATATACATTGAATCCAACTATGGCAGTCAATGAGGTATGAGATCAGGAAAGAAATGCAATATCTAAACAGACACAGTAAAGTTGTCACTGTAGATTAAATTACTAATCAACAAGCAAGATATATCTGAAAGTACTCTTTGTATTGTTTTAGATTAGCTGTCCTCTTTAAATAAGCTGTCATGCCTTTTCTCCCTGTTGTTCTTATAAGCCTGCAAGTTCCCATTGTATGCCTACCATGTTTTTCTGAGGTCTTTTGAAAGGCTCAGAATACCACTTGCTGCTAAACAGGAGAGGGAAGGAGGAAAATTTGCATGGAGAAGTAGTCAAACTGCATGAGAGGCACTTAACAATCCCCTCTGGCTGTGGTTCCTTGGCATGCATTTCTTGCATCATACAGCAAAGTAGCTGGGGGAGGAAAAGGGTTGCAGAGAAAAGCAGTGAGGAAGGGAAGAGTTAAACACCCCTCTCCTGTCAGTGTTACCCAGCAAATGTCACCCTTTCCCTGCTATTTTGCACTTGTTCGGAAGAGACCGTGGTTCCACAGCAGAACATCTCTTTCAGCTGAAATGTGAACCCGAGAAATAGTTTGCAATTTCATTTGAACTATAAATGCTTTCCAGCATGTCTATGATCAAGAAAAAGCAGGTGCAGGCTAACGGAAGCCCATTCTATGACAGTAAGCTGGGGCTACTTGTCCATTAAGATGATCAATGCTGCCTTTGCATTACTGGCATCATCTGTCAGCAAAGCTCATGATTCCCTTACTTCCCATCTTCCCTAGTATTTCATTATTATGAGACCTATTTCATTACTTTTATTTCCCATACACCATTACTAATACACCATTGCAGAATGTCTCCTCTTTTTTGCTTCTGTTTCCATGCATTTGCAGGGGGTGGAAAGAGATGTCTGAAGTGTTATAATGGGTTTTTATGATTCTTTCCACCCTGGAAAATTTGTCAAGCCCAAGACAAATGTTTAGTGAAATGAACGCCTTCATTCCACACACACACACCCCACCATATAAACATGCTCCTTGAACTGTTCATTGGGTAGGCAAAGAACCCCCTTTCCTACAAAGAGCAGCTTCCATCGAGGAGGGGAAATTTGTAAGTGGTTTCAGAGCAACTGATGTTGCTGAAGATAAGTAGGTGTGGACTTAATCAGCCCTTTGGATGGGAAACCACTGGATGAACTATGTAAGAACAGCAAACAAAATCAATTATAAGAAAAAAAATCATGAAGAAGAAAGGCTTTCAAGAAAATCTGGGTAAGGATCATAGCTGAAAGGGCACAGGCTTTGCATTCAGAAATTCCCAGGCTCGGCCAGCAAAAGATTCACAATTAATGTGGCTGGGAAAGCCTTCTGCCACAGAGTTAGTGCCAGTCAGTCAGAGCAGACAATACTGGGTTAGATGGGCTCATAATCTGACTGCATCCAGCAGAGTTTTTTACACCTCAGTCCATCTGGTCAGCCGGAGGGGGGGCAGTTACTGAAACTGAGCATTCAGGTTTTTTAAAAAAAATCTGCCCCAAGGTAACTCCAGTTATCTGTGGCACCTTAAAAATTAACTAACCCACTTATTATGGGATAAATTTTCATGGATAACAGCAGTCCACAAATGCTTATGCCAGAATAAATTGGTTACATTTTAAGGTGCCACAAGACTCTGGTCGTTTTTGTTACAAGAGGCTATCATAGCTAACCCTCCGTTCTGCAACTTGTATAAAGTATCTGCATTTTAAAATGCCCATGATTACTCTTACTTTGCATAATTTAGTCTTCTTCCATTAGGCAAAAGGAGGAGTAATAACCTATGCAGAACACTGACTCTACTTGAAGATGGGAAAAGCCAGGGCTTTTTTATCCAGTCAGAATCCACCTGAACTCAGTTCTGGCACCTCATAGGTGGGTGCAATTGCCATTATAAGAGCACAAGGGAGGTGTCTATGGTGAGTTCTGGTGCCTCTTTTTCTAGAAAAGTAGCACAGGGAAAAACTTAGTCCCTCCTTTGGCACCCAAAATTCTTGAAGAGGTTGGCATATATATACAGAACATATAATAGCTGAGATATTTAGGAAACTGAATTCTGCTACCAAGGCTACATTTTGCAGCTTTCCTGCAGTTTTGCTGTTCAGTTGTTCCTTGGAGACCAGCTGCCTCCTGCTCACAGAATTGGTGGCAGAGAGACATCTCTCATGTGTGCTCAAAACAGTCTGGGGACACCTCTCCCCCCCTCCCACTCCAATCCAGCATGAAAAAAGAGGGCCGTCTGGCTGAAAAGCACAGGGTGAGCCAGAAAGCAACCTGAAGCTGTTACATCCTTTCAGCTGCTTTAGGAACACCAGTTCTTTAAAAGCAGGACAGCTTTGAAACAAGGCAAAGGTCACACCAGGCCCAGGAAGGTTGCGCTCTCTCCCTTCTCAGGAAGAATATCACAGCAAGGGAGGAAATGAGCCTTTGGCAGGATAAGAAACAGATGCAGGGATTTTGCTTTCCAATCTGCCCCCTGCTCTGCTAGAAAGAACTCTGCCCCAATTGTCAGCTGCCCTAGAGGAGAAGGTTGTACTGGTCTCAGTTACTGGCCAAAGAATGAAGGGCAGCTAGGGAGCTGAAGCAGGGATGGGGAATTCATACCTAGCAAGGGCACAGGCCTGACCCCTACTGGATGTTAAGGACCATTAATTCCTTTCCTCTTCTGTTCATATATCCCTTCTTTTTCTATCTTTTCCTTTTCCTTTTCCTTCCCTTCTGTCTTCCTTTTCTATAGTTGGGAAGCCCGAGGGTAAGGCCTGTGGCTTATTTTCATTTAAGTACCAGTTAACACAAGAAATAAATAACAGCAGCACAGATGTCGTGTCCTTTTGAATGATTCCTACAGAAGATGCCAATTTTGTTTGCTTAAGTAAATATGAGTGCAGGTGAATGCAGATTCACCAAATCACTCATTTCTTTAGGAAAATAAGAACTTTCCTCTCCTTTTCAGGACACATGAAGGATACCACCTAGTTACACCTAGGTAACTAATCACCTAGTTACAAGCAGGTCACCATGCTGGGTTTCTATGTCTGTCTCATTGCCCCTTTTTGTTTACTAGTTGTGCCCCCATGAACCTAACAGGAGCTTAACCAGAAGGAACTCTGTAGGGTAATCTCTTCCTTGTGGAAATAAGTGGCAGGGAAAAACTTCACCTGCTAAATTTCTGAGAGACTGACTTCTGCAAAAAGATAGAAGAGCAGGCTTATTAAAAGCAAAGGTTGTTTCAGTGCAGAAGGAACTCTTATAACTCTGAGCTGAAGAGTGAGGCTAAATGCAAAACCAACTTCATCCTCCAGATGCGCAAGCAATGCACAAAACAAAGCTTCCTAAATTTGGATGGGAACAGTGTGGTCCTACCTGTGATCTGAGGTTGCCATCATCCCTGAACATTGGCCATGCTAAGCTGAGGATGGTGGGAGTTAAAGCACCTGGTAGGTCACTTTCTTGGGCTCCATGATGACTGCAGATGGTGCCAGCAGTCACGAAATTAAAAGACGCCTGCTTCTTGGGAGAAAAGCAATGACAAACCTAGATAGCATCTTAAAAAGCAGAGACATCACCTTACCAACAAAGGTCCGTATAGTAAAAGCTATGGTTTCCCCAGTAGTAATGTATAGAAGTGAGAGCTGGACCATAAAGAAGGCTGACTGCCGAAGAATTGATGCTTTTGAATTATGGTGTTGGAGGAGACTCTTGAGAGTCCCATGGACTGCAAGAAGATCAAACCTATCCATTCTTAAGGAAATCAGCCCTGAGTGCTCACTGGAAGGACAGATTGTGAAGCTGAGGCTCCAATACTTTGGCCACCTCATGAGAAGAGAAGACTCCCTGGAAAAGACCCTGATGTTGGGAAAGATGGAGGGCACAAGGAGAAGGGGACGACAGAGGATGAGATGATTGGACAGTGTTCTCGAAGCTACCAGTATGAGTTTGACCAAACTGCGGGAGGCAGTGGAAGACAGGAGTGCCTGGCACGCTCTGGTCCATGGGGTCATGAAGAGTCGGACACGACTAAACCACTAAACAACAAAAGGTCACAGGTTTCCTACCTCTGTCCTAAACAAAGCAGGCAGGTCCACGTTCTGATGTACAGCATCTCCACCCGGATGTAGCAACAGAGCTGAACAACTATCACAAAATGAATACATGGTCTTATGTCCTTAGATAATCTGACTAAAGTATCCTGTCCCCTTCTTCCCACTGCAGCAGCCTGCATGCCTCTGTGGGGGTGGGGTGTCCTCCTGAACAATGTAGGATGGGGTACGGGGTCAGGGAGGAAAAGATGAAAAATCTTATTTCCATGAACTTCCTTTAAACTTATTTTAGGATCTATGCCACTATACAAACACCACTATCCCATTCAACCAAAAGCCCAGAGAACAGAGGAAGGGGATGCAGCTTCCACAGCTAACTTCTACCTTATTTTCTTTCTGGTAAAGATCCAGTTAATATGTAACTATTGTGGTAGGATTGTCTGGTGACTCGATCTCACAGCAAACCAAATAATGTCTGAATGAAACAACTACACAGGATCTCAGGGAACTCATTAGAACTGCTTGTGCCAACATCCGCTGGCTTTTACGGGAAAAGAATGTCAATGTGGGTTATACCTATGTAATGCTGGTGAGGTTATGTGATTCTGTCATTTGGTTATTTCTGGTACAGGGAAGGGAGACCCATACAAAATGAGTAATAATGTGTGTTTCAGGAGCACATGGACAACCTCAACAGCAGTTGCAGTAAAATGGCATCAGTATGACATGGCAGGAACACATTGAAGAAGCAAAGTGGAAAGATGAGAAACATGGTTCCCACAAGACTAGTTTATCAGTTTGGGGAAGTAGAGGCCGCACACAAAAAGATCAGCACTTAAACCTTGAAAAGAGCATCTATGCAGTGGCACAATTCAGATGAATTAATTAGGCTTGGAAATCTGAACTGTAGTCAAACGAAGTAACTTTCAATCTAAGGAAAAGTCTGTGGAATTGTGCAGGCTGAAGATCCTGGCTTGCCAAAGAAAATCTTCACCTGAAAAAAGCAAACAACACTGCTTTCCACTCCTAGCTTTCATTTTATATTTTTGTGCATGTTCTGCTGGTTCCCATCACTCTGCCTGTTTCGTATGGTGTCATTTCACCTCTTTGCTTTGAGAACACTATTATTTTGTGATACAAAGACATCACTTTAATGTTCTACACTTTATTTTGGAAACTAGACTTGTTTGCTAGCTTTCTAAAGTGAATCTTACAGAGTTCCCTCCCCCCCACATGGTAATATGTACCTGTCAAGTAAGCTGGTATTTGGCAGTAGCACATTAACCTACTAATCTTTCTTTGCATAAAACTCAGTCATCTCAGGGAATGCAAAAGGGGCAGGAGTCAAGGATGGAAGAACAGTGATTTACTCCCCAACACCACCAACATGTCTGGTATTGGAGCATGAAGAACCCAACAAGCGAACAGAGAACAAACAAAGATGAAATTTACATTGTGGCTTTTGCGTCATGTGCCTCTCTGAGAAATTTGCTAATCAATATTGGCAGAATCTAGTGAAGGTACTCTAAATTGAAATTGCTATAAGATGATGTTTAAATATAAATGAAGGAAACTCCCAGCACAAAACTGCCTTAAGACTGCGATCCCCAGCACACTTGCCAGGGAATAAGCCCCACTGGAAAGTGGTCTGTGCTTATGGTACAAAAAGGACCACATAGCATGAGGTGCTCAGAGTCTGCTTACAAAGTGGCAACTGCCTTCATCTCACAGGGAAGACAATGGGTTTGGAAGACACCAAGTACCTCTCATGAATCTCTCATCAATCTGGCACTAGCAGTTGCACGTAATTTCCACTGGCAATCATTTCAGAGCAATCATCCATGCTTTTCAGATGAGAAAGGGAGAAGAAACAGCTTGAACGCTTTGAGGAAGGTAAAATACCTAGTCTGGAGGAGGAACTAAACAGTAATATCCTTAAGAAAAATATTAGTTTAGAAGCACAATCCCAGTTATAAGCTTATGTATTTTCTAAGTGTTCCTGTTTAGATTTCTATTATTCCGGGGTGTGTGTGTGTATTTTTTTACATTTTTAAAATGAGTATTGTGACATTTACACAACACATGGAAAGACAGGATAAAGCAGCCAAGTGACATGGCTCTAATATTGTTTTTTAAAATATAATATTTTCTTTGATTCTAATGCATTCACAGCAACACCTTTTTCTTGGTGACCAGCTTCACAGCACAGGCAGCAGATTTGATTTTAGGATTTGTATTGTATTTAGGAACACTAAGAAGCAGACAAAAAGCAAGGTGACTACCTAAATGGGTTACAGATACCTGAGCACCTCTGCATTCTCTGCTTCTCACACCATTCTCTTAAGCAAGAGAGGTGACAAAAGGGGGGTGGGGAGAGAGAAAGGTATGGGTTGCATTCATTAGCTGGGGTGATGGGCCTGAACTCAGGAGACAGAAACAAAAGAGACAATTCCACCTCCTGATTTTGGGGCTGAGACTTTGCTCCTACTTTCAAGAAAAAATATTCCCCTCCTTGTGTGACAACTAAAATAAAAACACATTCTGAGACCAGGGCTGCAAGGTCTTTGTTCCCAGAAGCATGAAATGAACTGGCACCCCCTATCGCCACCAGTTCCGGATACATGAACTGTTGACTCCTCACTGCCCACACAAGGTCAGTGCTCTCATTCCCGGATTCGCTGGACGCCTCCCTATTTTCATGACCTCAACCGTGCACCGAAGAGATCAGATGCATTGCATGGATGTATGCACAGCAGTCCTACATGTGTGTCTGCACCAGGAAGGAAATGCACGCGTGATAATATCTATGTATGGGAAACACATAAGCACAAGGATGGAGAATTTGTGCAAGAGAAGAGAAAGAGTGCTTGTATGTGCATGAGGTTATACAGCCAGTGTTTTTCATGTCACATTTGGAACCAGACAGCATTCAGTTTCTGAAATAACTGGTACTGGGGCTTGAGAGTCCCTGTGCTCCCCCCCCCCCGCCCTGCCTGCCTGAAATTCACATCCTCCAAGTTAGGAAACTATCCTAATTCAAGTCCCCATTAAACTCAGAGGAATTTATTCTGAGTAAACACGCTTACCAGCAGGTGAGAACTACATTACACTTCTCTGATTTGATGAAAAGCCTCTTGTAGATTAACAGAGCAATCCTACACATATCTCTATTCAATGTAAGGCATACTGAATTTAATGAGGCTTGCTCCTGGGGTCTGCAGCCTAAGGCACTCCGTTATTTAAAAGCACAGTCTAGAGTAGCTCAAGACTCTGAAACGAAAGGAAACCTGGAACCTTAAAAAAAAAAAGTCCCTGCTCACCCATAAAACTGGCTGGTTCGCCTTCCAGAAGTCTCTCATACTTGCCTGCCTCACTGGGCGCTACTATGGTTAACCTGACCCTTTTCCTTAGAACTGGGCAGGAGACAAACACAAACTCACTAAAATAAAAGCGCGAAGGAAGCAAAGCGACGGTGGGAGTTTGTGCGCGCGGGGGGGGGGGGGGGAGGCGCACGCTCCTCGCCACGACGCCTTCGATCCTATGCATGTTTCTTTAGAAACAAGTCCCACCAAATTCATTCGGACCAAGCACGCGCGCAACATTGGACTGAGTGAAGGGGGGAGAGGGAGAAAGAGAAAGAATGTATGTGCACGAAGGTTTTTTAAATGAGCGACTGACAGCGAGGCAAAGATGGGGCTGGCGATGGAGCTTGGAGAGCAAGGGAGGGGAAGGTACACGAGGCGCGCACGGGGAGAGAGAGAGACGGCGGGTATTGTGAAGGAGCCCATGTGGCGAGGGAGCAAGGATGCTGAGCGACGCGGCGCCCGCCGCCCACTTGCCCTGCCCTGCCCGCCGGTGGGGGCGTCGTCGTCGTCCTGGGCGCTTACCTGAGCAGTTGCTGCCCGCCTTCCCTTTGCCGGCGGCGCAATCCGCGGCCGGCGCGAGCGGGTTGGACGTCCGCGCCGGGGCCAGAGCGCACAGGGCCACCGCGAGCGCCAGGATGGCGGCGGCGCTGCAGCAGCCGGGCGAGGCCCGGGGCCGGGCGGGGGCCGCCATGGCGAGGGCTGGCGAGAGGCCGGGGAGGGGGCCCGCTGCCGCCGCCGCAGGGCCCAGCTGGGGATCAGCGGGCGCCGCCCGGAGGAGCGCGGACCCGCCGGCCTTGCTGCTGCCAACCAGCCCTCCGCATCCCGGGCCGCCTCTGGGCTCTTCGGAACCGCGGCTGCTGCTGCTGCTCGACCCTCCTCCTTTTCCCCGGCGGTCTGTCTCTTCCCGGAGCCCCTTTGTGCGCTTCGGTGGCGGCGGCTGCTGCTCGCTGCTGCTGCCGTCGCGAGCGAGCTGCCGCTGCTACTGCTCCGGCTACAACAAAGGGATGGGAGGGGGTGGGAGATGGAGGGGAGGGGGAGAGTCAGGGAGTGGGGGCCACGTGATGCTGCTGCTGCTGCCGCCGCCGCCGCCAGCCTCCTCCCCCGGGACCGGGGCAGGATAGGGGGTCCGGCGCCGGCTGCCACCCTCCCCCTCTTCCGGACCGCCGGCCACCACGCCGACACCCCGGTGGAGTCGGGGCGCGTTCCTCCGCCTGCGCGCCCGCCTTGGGAGAACGATCTCTCCCCACCCGCCGCCGCTCAATCAATCGACGGTAATCGGGAGCCCCGCTCTCCCACCTCGTCTTTAGGCACACTTGGGGAGAGAGCAGGAGTCTCCCCTCGCGAAAGCAAGCAGGCCCGCCACGGGTGCGCTGGGGGAGAAGGGAGCGATGGCTTGCCACAGACTTTTGCCCCCCCCCCCTTTTGGTTGGTTGGTTGTCTGTCCCCCCCTGCTCTCATTTACTTGGGAGTAAAGAAACGCCCAAGGCAGAAGCCTGATCCCCGAAGAATTGATGCTTTTGAATTATGGTGCTGGAGGAGACTCTTGAGAGTCCCATGGACTGCAAGAAGATCAAACCTATCCATTCTGAAGGAAATCAGCCCTGAGTGCTCACTGGAAGGACAGATCCTGAAGCTGAGGTTCCAATACTTTGGCCACCTCATGAGAAGAGAAGACTTCCTGGAAAAGACCCTGATGTTGGGAAAGATTGAGGGCACAAGGAGAAGGGGACTACAGAGGACGAGATGGTTGGACAGTGTTCTCGAAGCTATCAACATGAGTGTGACAAAACTGCGGGAGGCAGTGGAAGACAGGAGTGCCTGGCGTGCTCTGGTCCATGGGGTCACGAAGAGTTGGACACGACTAAACAACAACAACAACAAAGAAACACCACTTAGTGCTGGGCGTGGAGCAAAGCCCATTGCCCTCAGTAGGAAGCCTATCCTGGAGAACTCCCTGCCAGGTGCTATTTCCATATAAAGTAGGTTCAGGATTCAGGTGTGAGTGCTCTGTAACTTCCTCCTCCTGAAGTCTGGCAGAGGCAAAAAGGTCAGGGCAAACAAGCAGAGATGCACCTAGGCTCCCTTGCACCCTTGGCAAGGAGCTGAAGCAGCACGGCACCCCCACTCTGTATTTGTGTCCCTCCCCACCACCGGAAACTAAGAGAGAGAGCTTTTTGACACCTTTTGCACTCCACCCGTGAACACATCTAATTGTGCATGGGTGGGCTCCTAGCCATTCCAAGCTAGTGTAGACAGATGCATTTTTGTGACCCCCTAGTCAACCCTGGGTACACCCCTGCAAACGAGTTGCTTGCCTGGGGGTACTGCTTTGGTAGCTTCTGCTTGGCTCACGTGAAAGGGCACACAGCTGTACTGTGGAGCTACCATTAACACAATCAGATGGTCTGAACCAGGGGTCAGCAACCTTTTTCAGCCGTGGGCCAGTGCACCATCCCTCAGATCATGTGGTGGGCCGGACTATATTTTTTTGGGAAAAATGAACGCATTCCTATGCCCCACAAATAACCCAGAGATGCAGTTTAAATAAAAGCACACATTGTACTCATGTAAAAACACCAGGCAGGCCCCACAAATAAGCCAGAGGTGCATTTTAAATAAAAGGACACATTCTACTCATGTAAAAACACACTGATTCCCGGGCCAGATTGAGAAGGGAATTGGGCCACATCTGGCCCCCGGGCCTTAGGTTGCCTACCCCTGGTCTGAACCATCTACCCTGGCCTTAAATAACCAATACAGAATGAAGCCTGTTGTTTTCAGATGGGTTAAGGCTGTTTTGTTTTGTCTGTTGAGTTCAGTGCTGGTTTGTGGCCTGTAGACTTGATTTTCGTATGCAGCAGAATATGATTCAGGTTGGTGAGATGCTGGGGGTGAAGGAGAAGAGAGACAGAATGTAGAAGCATTCGGTTTCAGACAGAGGCAAGGTTTTCTGGGGAGTGTGAGGTGGGTCGCCAGATGTCATTTGTGGCTGAGCTGGGATTTGCACCAAGACCTCCTTGATCCAAGTTCAGCTCCCCAGCCATTGTGCCACACTGCTGCATGGTTTATTAGAGGAGGCACAAAACAGATACTGGTCTCTCTTCATTCAGCCAAGAGGTAAATGCACAGACACGCCACATCTTGCCTCATTATCCCAATCAATAGAGCATAAGTGACTGAGTGTCTTTCCAATTGTCAGGGAGAGGTGGGTGTTGTTGGAGAAAAAAATGTCAGTTCTCTTCCCTGTTGTAGGACTCCCACCTCTGTGCTTCTTTAAACAAACCAAGTGCCTTCCAGTTTCTGTCAGGTGAGCCCTGTACCCGGGTTACATCTGTGCTTTGCCACCAGCCAAACATTTTACTGGGGAAGGCTCAAACCTTGTCCAATTGCTACTGCAGAATAACTCCTTTTACTGCGAGTTAAAAAAATACAACGCAGCCTAGTCCCTAGGCATGTTTCCCTGGAAGTTAGCAAGCTCTTCTTTCAAGGTAAACATCTGTTGAATTGCCACCTGAAGAGAGGTTGGGGTAAACAAGTCTACTTTGAGGCTCCTTGCATTGAATTAGAAACACAAACTTAAACCAGTTGCCAACTTAAATACCTAAGCTTTCCAACTTTTCTGGGGGGGAAATAGCCCTGAGTGTTTAAAAACTTTGTAAATATTTTTATTATTAATGAGAAGAGAGACAAAATTTCTGTGCCTTAGAGGTAGTCTTCGCCAGAAACCCCAAGTGGGGACCAGGACCTAGTGAGAGAGAGAAGTGCTGTTGAACTGATTGGAAACGATATCCAGTGCTTGATCAGCATATAAGTGACAAGAAAGCTTCTCTCTCCCGATCCTTTTCAGTATGCCTTTGCATGGGCAGAAAAGCAAAGGGAAGGCAAACAGGCATGGCACTTCTTAGCTCCCCCTCCCTCTTTTCAAATATTTCTTCCATGGGCTGTGCAAATCTTGCAAAAGGGGAAGGGAACAGAGTTAGCACTTTTTCCATTCTGGGGCTTTTCCTCCCTTCCAACCGGAGACCTTGTGAGGTTGAGCCTGCATTGGAACTGCCTAGTCAACTTTCCATTCTTGCTTTTGGTAACAGCCTCTGTTGGTTAATCATTTGTCATTTCAGAGCAACTTCATTAATAAGAGCTGTCCTTCCTTTCTTTGATTTTGATTTTTGCAAATGTACTGAGAAAAGGAAGAATTGCAGTCAGTGATAATAAAATAATAAAAATACTCAATTGATTCGGCGGGGGGGGGGAGTTCTTCCATGAACAGCAAAAACAGGAGGTGGAATGGCCTCAGAACTTCTCCCAATATCCTTAAAAAACCTAAAGAGGTGGGATCTATCCTCCTTCTCCTATCCAACTTTGTGCCACCACAGCTGCCCAGGCAAACCCTTCGTTGCAGAAAGGAGTGGAGGAATTAGAGTTGCAAGAGGCCCTGTGAAGTCCAGCAAGTGGTCTGTGCTGCAGAAACTCTGCTTGCATCAGGTTGGGACCTTAGATGGCTTAGATAGCTGCCTTTGCATTATGCTTCATAACGTCCTGGCTACCAGTCACAGGAGAACATGGACTCAGATGATGTCACCCCCCCAAAAAAAGCTTTAGTGCTGAGATCTGTGATACATATGCAAAAACGCTGTTCAAAGGCGTAGCAGGCAACACAACATATCTTCGCAAAGGTGCAGTTACCCAACAGCACTGCAGGAGATAAGGCCACTCAAGCAAAGATGACATTGATCCAACAACAACATAGAAACCCAGAATTGTAGAGCTGGATGGGACCCCAAGGATCATAGTCCTGCCCCCTGGAGTGCAGAAATCTCAGCTAAAACTTCCAGGAAAGATGGCAATCCAGCCTCTGCTTTAAAACCTCCACAATCTCCCAAGGAAGTCTGTTCCATTGCCGAACAACTCTTGCTGTCAGAAAGTTCTTCCTGATGTTTAGTCAGAATCTTCTTTTTTGTAACTTGAAGCCATTGGTTTGGATCCTACCCTTCAGAGCAGGGGAAAAACAAGCTTGCTCCATCCTACATGTGATAGCCATTTAGATATTTGAAGATGGCTATCCTATTTCCTCTCTGTCTCCTCTTTTTCAGGCTAAACAAACCCAGCTCCTTCAATCGTTCCTCATACGGCTTGGTTTCTAGACCCTTGATCATCTTGGTCATCCTCCTCTGCACACATTCCAGCTTGCCGATATCCTTATTAAATTGTGGTGTTCGGAACTGGACACAGTACTCTAGGTGAGGTCTGACCAAGGCAGAATAGAGTTGGGACTATTACTTCCCTTGATCTGGACACTGTTCTACTGTTGATGCCCCATCATGCAATCCTGGTATAAAGGAAAGGGCCAGCAGAGTTTAGCGCAGCCTGCTGTTCTGTTCTTTAGTCCTTGCTAATGTTCTGCCTGGGCGACTGGACCTGCTGCATCTGTTCACACCTCTGTTCATGCCTTCAGGACCTAGGTGAAGGGGTCAATGTCACTGCCTCCCGCAAAGTGGATGGCGGCAGGTGGGGCATCACCCCACTGTGAGCCAGCCCGCTGGAGCCCTCCCCAGGGTCTTCTGCAAACCACCCATCAGTGCCTTCCTGACTTGAGCAGTCCATGACACATAACTTCTTTCTAGAAGCTAGAAACGTGACTTTTTAAAAATGAAAGCTCAGAGTCGGGGGATCCCTGCTGGCATGGGCCCAGGT